TCTTCTTCCTCTTCTTCCTCTTCTTCAACATCTTCTTCAACATCTTCTTCAACATCTTCTTCAACATCTTCTTCAACATCTTCTTCAACATCTTCTTCAACATCTTCTTCAACATCTTCTTCAACAACTTCGTCATCGACTACTTCCACAACTTTGCCTGCATCATCTTTGTCATCTACTACTACAAGCAGAACCTCAACAATAACAACACCAACAACGTCATCCTCTTCCTCATTCACGTCTAGATCATCGTCTTCTTCACTGACATCCACATCGACGACCTCGTCGGCCATTGCCTGTGGCTCCACTGCGCCCGCCTACATCATCGCCGACGGAAATCTCCTGCGCATGGACGCCGCCACCAATGCATTTACAACCGTCAAATCCAATGTGGGCGGCAGCAGCTCTCTCGATGCCGTGGGTTTGAACATTGCAGACGGCTACCTCTACGCCGTACAGGGCTCCGCGCCGTCCCGTCTTCTCCGGATATCGACGGCGGATGGCTCAACACAGGACATGGGCTCGCTGAATTTGACAACGACATACAATACGGGAGTCGTGGACGAGAGCTCGCAGTACTGGATTATCAATACCGCGGGTACGTCTTGGGTCCAAATCGACCTGCGTCCGGGCTTGAGCACGTTTGGTCGGACCGTGGCCTCGGGAACTTCAGCGACGCCGGCCTACGCCGTCCAAGACTGGGCCTGGGTACCCGGGGCCAACGGTGGCAACTACCTCTACGGTCTGGGCTCGACCACAGGCCTCCTCGGCGGTACGTACCTGATGCAATGGAACCGGGCGACCAAGACGTGGGCCAACACGTACACGTACCTGAACATTCTTGGCTTGCTGGAGGGCAGCACAGCCAACTGGGCGTCTGTGTGGGCCGGGCAGGACGGGACGCTCTTTGGCTACGACAATGGTAGCGGACAGGTGTACAATTTTGTTTTGCCCACTTCAGGAGCTCTGAACCTCAATCTCCTGGCTGCGCAAGTGGCCACGGGAAGCAAGGCATCGTTGTCTGATGGCGCAAGATGTGTAAGAGTCTTAAATGGATGAGGAAGAATTTTAATCATTTCTTGTTTCTTGACGGATAATATTAATTCGGTTCAAAGGGAAAACTGGTGCTAGCATCGACATTTTACTTTGATTTCTTTTGTGGGGGGTTGAAAATTTATATTGCGGAACCGGATCAGAGAGAAGAGCGTCATATGAACCATGACAAGTACGAAAGATGAACAGATATTCATTCACTTTTGTCCATCTAATCCTGGCGTAGGGTTTGTACGAACACTGCAACCAAGTCGTATCTGATAGCAACTTATTTTCTCTTTCTAGTTCAAAGCATCAAATTATTTAATAAATGTTTCATTGAATCAATTATGGTAATATGTCCATGTTGTATCGAACTTCTAATACATGAGCGGCTACCAAACTAAACTCAATCACATCATCTTGCTGTCTCTTCTCGCATGCTTTCCAGTCATGCCCTCCAAATGAGCCTTGATCTGTAGAGCAACCAATCTTGAATAATACCTACACATGGCGAAATTGCCGCCAAAGAGCCAGAGCCCCGGGTGTCCACTTTGCTTCCAGATAGTTCTCATCTCGCCCTCTTCATCAAATCCCCACACGTCGCCGACCTTGTCCCCGACCTCGTCGCCAAAGATTTGTCTGGTGCCCGTCCTCATATTTTGATAGCCCGTAGCGACGACAATCTCGTCGGCCTCGAGCTCCGAACCGTCGGCAAACTTGATGCCGTGGGGCAGAATCTCGGCCACCTCCTGGCCCTGTTTGACCTTGACCTTGCCGTCAATGACGAGATGGCAACTGCCCACGTCAAAGTAGTAACCGCCACCGCGCTGAAAGTACTTGACAAAGATGCCGCAGTCGTCGGGGCCATAGTCGACCTTGTACCCGGCCTTTTCCAGGCCCTCCAGGATGTCCTTGTCCTGGTCGACCTGCTTTCTCGTCAGCTGCTGGTGGATGGCCTTGAAGACCTCGGTCGGCCAGCCCCAGATGAGCATGTCGGCGTCGTCAATGGGCGGCCCGTCCTCGGAGTAGAGCTTGCCCAGCAGCAAGTCCTTGATGGTGTCGGCGCCAATAATGGCCGTCGAGCTGCGCTGGACCATGGTCACGTCGTACCCTTCCTCAAAGTAGGCCTGGCAGATGTCCATGGCCGAGTTGCACGAGCCGACCACGACGGCCTTTTTACCCTTGTGGCTTTTGCCCTTGTCGTACTTGCCGGCGCCTGAGAACTCAGACGAGTGGCAGATTACGTCGCCTTTGAAGCTGTCCCAGCCCGGGAAATCAGGCTGGTTCTTCTTGCCAGAGTGGCCGGTTGCCTGCACAATGTGCTTTGGATGCATGATTCGTGATTCAATACTGCCATTGGGAAGCTCGCGTCGGATCTGCACAGTCCATTCTTGTTTGGATTCGTCCCATTTGGTGGACGTGAGAGAAGTTCTGGTCCATATATTGAGCTCCAGCATCTCTGCATAAGACTTGAAATACCCTGCTAGTTTGTCCTTGGGTGTGTAGATGGGCCAGAACTTGGGGAACTCCAAGTAAGGCATCTGGTCGTACCAGATCGGATCGTGTAGTACAAGCTGGTGATAGCGATTGCGCCAGTTATCGCCAACTTCGTTGCAGGTATCGATGATGAGGGCGGGCACGCCAATCATCTTCAACCGAGCATGCATTGTCAGGCCGGCTTGTCCGCATCCTACCACAGAGATGTTAGCCACGACTTCCAACCGCGGTTAAGTAGATAAAGTTCTTTTCCGTACCTATAATGAGAACTTCAGGGTCATGACCTTGAAACTCGAGTTCATCCTTTCTCCGATCTAGCCAGTTCTTCCGCGAAGGCATGGCACCGTGTTGAACACCCTTTGGTCGGTTGTGTCCAATGGCCTCCTCGAAACCCGTGAGCTCGGTGAGCGTTGTGAAACATGTAAATATTTTCCAGTCTCCCGAGTCGTCCACAATATTGATGAGACCTCTCCCAGAACCGTGCTGTGTTGCGATCTTGGTGAAAAATTGGACACCCTTGACAGTCCCATTGGGATCCAGCGCAGTGAGCTTGGGAGCCCGATCTGTGCTAGACCGATCAATTTCAATGCTTTGCAAATGGTGGCCATCGTCAAGAAAGCCTTGGATTTTGCTGACTCCCTTCATGGTCCGCAGATCCCAGGTTAAGCAGAGATGATCCCTCCAATAGCCATTGTCCATGAAAAGTCTCGCCACAGCCGCATTATCGCCTCTGTCGAGTGCAAGATTCAGCGAGCCGATGACTTTTGTTGCTATCTCATCGGCGTCCACTGTCGTGGTGGTGGTGTCTTTGGGCCATGCCGGTATCGGTATGTTGACTGACCCCGGAGCAATCTGTCTTGTGCGAGATGATCGACTCGGTACGTCTTGTACCAGAACTGGCCCGGTATTCATGATTATTAGGTAGATATCAAGAAGAAGTCAAAAATAAAATGTACAGTATAGGACTTATTTTTTTCTTCCAATATTCTATTATAATGCAATCTCGCTCCTAGGCGGAAGAGCTGAACTTTATGTATTCCGTTTCCTCGTTGCACATAACCCCCCTTAGACCCCGCCACCATCTATGCTGGTCTTTCAAGACAAGAGCTTCAACTCAAATGCTATGCTGTCTAAAAGCGGAAGTGTTAAGCGCCACGAGAAAGTACGACTGCTGTGCTATCAGGGCCCATCTCTGGCCATGTGAGCGCGGATCGAGAATAGAGTTCAGGCATAGAGGCAATCCCACTGAGCCATGCTCCAATGAAAACTATGGGATCCTGAAAGATGAGGCGAGCGATTGGTGTGCCACGGCAACTATCTAATGGGACCTAGGGAGCTTCTCGAGCTGCAAGCATAATCTAGTCCCCGTCTGGGAAGCCGTGATCTGGACTATAGAGCTAGACGAAGATCCAAATGCACAGTCGGAGCTCGGTACGCGGCAGCAAGGGGGTACTATGGCCTGATTCTCAAGTAGGCCCAGACGCATGGGACTTGGGGCAATGGAGAATGACCCCGCGCTGATAGGAGGGTCTTTGAGACGATGACGTTGAAATCGTATAAGTGGTTGCCCTCATAGTAAAATGGTGATGTCGTCCTTACTAGTGTCACGACTCCCGGCTCTCTTCCCCGTGGGGTAGAATTGAGTTGCAGCAGTGTCCCCGCACTCTCCGCAGGCTCCGCAGCAGCAGCAGCTCAGGATGTTAGTGGCCATTGAGTAGATGGGTGTAATGGAACCCAGGTAGACTGACTTGTCTCACTTCATCCAATCCATTCTATTAGCGTTTAGTAATAGTTATACACAACTTGGCAATATCGTATCCCATATCGATAGCATTGTATCAATATTGAGTACTACCGGACCACCAATGGACAACCCGACAGATTTAAGGGGCTTCCATGCATTTGATTTGTACCCCCGAGAGTCGTCGGCTTAGTGCGCCAACATTGACGCTTCAACGGACGCAACAAGGTTATGGTGCTGGGCTTGTTTGCAGTCTTTCGACTAAGGAGAGTTTCTATTGCAACAAAAGTGAGCTGTTGCTGTTGCTCTATGCCACCTTCTAAATGCTGGAATTTCTACAGAATCAAAAAGCGATCGTACTCTGCGGCCCAACAATGAGCGCATTGCTGTAGAACGACGTCTTTTTTCCACTCGTACGCGGTTCATGGAAATCCAAAGCAGCTAGCAGAGCTCCCATAGCGGCCGAGGTAGCGTGGACTTTGGCGTAGACGCATGAGCCGATTGTACCTGCTTGACACCAACGTAGACAACCTTGCGGGCTGGGTTTCCCATCATCACGGAGCGAGAGTCTAGTCCATAGTAATCCGAGATGGAATGAGTGAGCCAACGCCTAGCTTGGTCAGCAACAGTAGCTAGCACGGACGATTACAGGTAACTTACTTAAAGGCACCGCTTTCATCGTCGTATCCCGGATCATCTAGCAACATGCCGACTTCGTCCTTGTGGCCCTCTCGTCTAGCCTTCTTCCATCCATCTCGCATGGAGCCATTGCGACCAACAAAGACGATTTCCTCATCTTCGGTATCTTCACTATCTGATTCGGCCTCCTTGGCCACTTCGCGATCAACCAGGAACTTCCGGACCGGCTCTTCAAGAGAGCGAACCCAAATCTTGACAGCCGGTGTCTTCTTGGCTCGAAGGAAGAGCTCTCTCGGGACACGACCGGGTACATTTTCGTCGCCGAGTGTCTGGGTCTGCCTCTGCTTCCGGCGCGCAGCCGCAGCTGTCTTGGCCTCGGCATCAGCACGGAGGCGGTTGTCCCAAGCGGAAGCAATCTGATATGGGACGTATTGCACAGGGTGTGTCGGATGTGGCTGGAAGTCGATCGGCTCGGGGGGCTGAACATGAGGGTTGTCCATCAAGCGATCTGGCGCAATGGATGTCAGTCGGTGAACTTCCAAGATGAGACGAAACCTGGATAAGGCAGCATCATACCATTTTCCCAGCGCCGCCGCTGCCGGCTACCCTCCTTGCCCTTCAACAGAGCCTCTCGCCGCTTCATACTATCGCGACGAGAGGGCGGACGGCGCGGCGGTGTGATCACATCTTGTGTGGGCTCTTGCACCCTCACGGTAGCCTTTCGAGGGGTGTTCTGCACATTTTGGTCGAGTGGGATCGACAGAGGGGTCGTGCCGGTGACTGGGGGCGAGACGCTGAGTGATTGCAGAGCTGTAATGGTCCAGGCCTCGATGTCAATCTGACCAGAGGGTGCGACAGCAGTAGGCGTTGGTGTTTGCTGCTGCTGCTCTGGGTTATGTTCGGTCGCATCGCCCTGAAGCTCCGGAGGGGGCGGCACTGACGAGTAGATAGCCATTGTCGCGGGGTGTGAAGCGTCACGATAAGAACAAGGTTGCCACCGAGTGCTAGTGATGCACACCAGGAATGGTACTGATGAGACAGAAGGAGCTGTGAAAAACCAAGTCGCTCTATAGTATACAGCTGAAGGAAGAAAAGCTCAGGGCTTCAACAGCACAAGAATGAGCCCTTCCTCCAATAACGAATCCGTGGTGATTCAGTTGCGTCCCCTAGAATGAGTGCGAATCACGGATGACACATCGACTCGTACTGACTCGTACCCCGAAAAAGGGCAAAAGATAGGAGCTTCGACCAATCAGAAGCGTAGCGCATACACTGCGCGTCAGCATTCGGCTCAACGGCCAGGGCAAAGGGGCACGCGTTAAGGTCCTCTCGGGCAATTAGCTCCGCCATGGGGGGTTGCGACCTCGTGCTGATCAGGAACAATTTGATTGAACCAAACTTCTGCGCCACTCGACAGCTTGCTACATAACCAGGCAGACAAACCACCAAATCATCATGATTCATTCTGTGTTGTTTTACCATCGTACGGAGCCTCTCATATTAGCGATTCAAGCAAGTTGCAAATTCTCAAAATAATATGAGTGACAACTTGTTAATTGAGACCGGTCTCACAATCAACCTTGTAAATTTGTATGGTCAGTGTACTCAGACCTATATGTAAGCACGGAAATGTTGCATTAGTTACTGGCGCACGCTGTGTCTATGCTGTGTATTTTGGTAGGTAGGTATGAATGTACTATAATATTCACATTTCGCTACACCTTGACAAGCCACTTCCACTGATAACCTAAAATTGCCAATCGTGCTACAATAAAACTCAATGTAGACAAAAATAAAATTGCAGTAAAGAATGCAGCAAAGCCCGTCGCTCCAAATGAAGTCAAGACTTTTCCTCCAATGGGGACAGAAAAGAGAGTTCTGCAACACGTTCAGCAAGAAAACCAGAATTTCTCTTAGGCTTGGACTTGCACTCACACAAAACTGACGGGAACGTAGCTCATGCCAACAAATTGTCCAATCTGCCTGACCTCACAAAGTCGTCCGATACAGGTTGGCTCCAGGCTCAGAACACTTCCAGTACCAAAACCAAAGGCAACAGCAAAAATGTAAAGGACGTAGACATTTTGCAACGGAGGGATCCAGAATGCTACTGCTGAACAAAGCGAGAAAATCATTATCATAATCATGACATTGAAAGGCCCTGCCTTGTCTGCAAATAAACCAGAGACCAAGCGTCCCACTCCAGAACTTCTACGGTAATGAGCCGTTAGTTGTCTTGTTTGGTAGTTGGTCAGAGCAAGACTTACGCATTCATTGCCGTTACAATGTTGTAACCTGTGCTTGTGCCATAACCTAGGTAGGCTGAATAGGTTGGCAAAAGACCGAGGGCACCGAATAAGACAAAGTCGAATACTGCATATTAATGAGTCCTGATTTGAAGACCTGGGAGTCCGTTGTTGTGAGACTTACAAGCGATTCCTAGGAGAACATAGGCAACTTTGGGACCGATGAAGGCTCGAAAATCTATCTCAACCTTGATTCTCTTGGTTGTCCGAGCTCTGATGCAGATATTCCCTATAGCGATGAGCACCGCGAGGATGCTAGAAAGTATCCTTATACATGAACTCCAACCAAGATTTTCATACAAGATCCTGATGATTTGCGGAAACATGACACCTCCGGTACTGCCTCCCATCATCATTACCCCGTTGGCCAACCCGCTCCTTCTGGTGAACCAGTGAGGAATGATAGCCATCGCTACTGTACTGAGTAAAGCGCAGCCAATACCAGCAGCGACTCCATAACACATCATAAAGTGCCAATACTCCCGACATTGTGCGAGCAAAAAGAATCCTGCCAGATATAATATGCTCCCAAGACTCATGAGTGCTCTGAGGCCATATCTATCAAAGATGATTCCTGCCAGACCACCCAAGAAAAGTGTGATGAAAACATGGACCGCATTGATCCACGTGAGCTGGTCTTGAGGGTAAATAGAGAGCTGATCTGCGGCCCAAATCTCAAGAAAAACACCATTAGAGGCCAACATACCATACGTGCTCCAAATGATGCAAAATGACCCGAATAGAACAATCCAAGCTTGTCTTGGGTTGCTCAGAAATGGGCCCAATGTTGCCTCTTCAGACTCTGGCACTGCAGACATAGTCCTGTCTCAATTCAATGGCAGAGGTAAGGTATAGTGACCCTTTTGATGATGTAAACAGTGGTCGCAGTGGTCGCAAGTGCTTGATTGAACAGGCGAGGAATATTGAATTGTTGACAAAGCTGTGGCTCCATCAAGGCTGCTTTGGAAAAGACTTAAAGAATATTAACAAAAAAAAACTATGCACGATCCGAACATTTCTGCGTTATGCGTGAAAACATCATCTCCGATATAGGACAGTACTCACAAGGAATACCAGAATGACAAAACTATTCCGGCGATGTCGTACTCACCAAGACCCGACGACACTCGTGCAATGGCGTCCACGGATCATATAGTGTCTTCTCACGCTAACCTCGATTGAGTACTTAGATTGAGAAACATTGGAGCCCGGCTCCACGGAGCTGCAGACATGGATGTGTATACAACCAACTAACTGTAAACGGCACTTAAATCGCAAGAAATCATCGCCTAGTCCATGAGCCTATGCTTGTTACGCCGAGAAAGATGACTGTGAAAGAAGTTACATAGCAATCATTGAGGATCTAAAATTGGATATACAAATGGTGAAGTATTAGAAACAAAACTTATTGCTCAAGATTTCCAACTCTCGTGTTCGTCTCTGACATTCTTACACAAAGACTTGTCGAGTTTTCAAATATTGTCGTTCATACTTCACTCTCGACCCTTTTATTTTCGTTAAAATGTCTTGGAAGCATTCGTTTGCTCAAATCCAACTCCAACGGGATGAATCCCGGCCATTGACTGGAGGTATTGCACCTGTCGTCGACTCTGATATGTTCAAGAGCCCACAATGTCTTCAAAAGCCTAAATCGAAGAGTATGGAACATTTCTTGAGTGTGGAGAGCAGAGCACGTGGTGCTGCAACTCTCAAGGCTGGGGGTGCCGAATTGACTGAAGATATTATCAGCTTGAGCACTGGAAGACCTTCATCCGAGTACTTCCCATTTCTGAATCTCAGCTTGGAACTTCCAAAAGTACCAAGGGTCTCTGAGAGTCATCTGCACCAGTCAACTACTCATGCGATTGAGAAGCATGGTCTACCGGGCTCTAAATCCCTCGATCTTGCCATATCGCTCAATTACGGCTATAGCGCAGGATCCGAACAACTCATACGCTTTGTGACTGAGCATGTTGAAGCCATACACAATCCACCATACTCGAATTGGCACTGCTCTCTGACTGTGGGAAGTACTGCCGCGCTGGATGCGGCTTTCCGCATGTTCTGCCAACGTGGAGACTTTATTTTGATGGAAAAGTTCTCCTACTCGGGAGCGATAGAAGCTGCGCGGCCACTTGGGATCCAAATGGCAGGAATTGATATGGATGATGACGGCCTGTCACCGACGCATCTGGATAATCTTCTCTCTGAATGGGACACTGCGCAACGTGGTGCTCGGAAGCCCTTCCTACTCTACACAATTCCTACAGGTCATAATCCCTGCGGTATTACACAGTCTCTTCAGCGTCGCCGAGAAATCTACGCTGTGGCTGAGAAACATGATCTGTTCATCATTGAAGATGACCCATATTACTTCATGCAGTTCAATGGCCAACAGAACGCACCTCTACACGCTACAGAGGACTCGGAAGGTCTGCCAATAGCCATCACTGAGCCAACGTGGGACCTGCTACCATCATACCTGTCACTCGACGTGTCGGGCCGGGTACTGCGGCTCGACTCGACATCGAAAATGCTGGCACCCGGCTTGCGCTGCTCCTGGATGACTGGCAACTCCGAGATCATATCTCGTCTTCTCTATTACCATGACGTGAGTACAGTGTCACCGAGTGGCCTATCTCAGCTCGTCATGCATACGCTGCTAAACGAGGTCTGGGGGCATGAAGGATTCATGACATGGCTCGAGTACCTGTGCGACGAGTACTTGCAACGGAGGGATATTCTAGTCAGGGCCTGCGCCACGCATCTCCCAAGCCGTATTTGCTCATGGCATGTACCAGATGGTGGCATGTTTTTGTGGATCAAAGTAGCCTGGCAGCAGCACCCGTCGATTGCAGATGCCGCAGCTGGTTCACCGGGCCATGACGAAATGTTGGCGATAGAGGATTCCATCTATCAAAACGCAATGAAGCGAGGCGTCATGTGCTGTAAGGGTAGCGCCTTCTGCGTCAATGACCAAGAGAAGGATATGTTCTTTCGTGCTACCTTTGCGACTGCTTCATTCCAACAAATGGAGGAGGCCATTGCAAGATTTGGAGGGGCGATTTCTGCAGAGTTTCAATTGATGGATTAAGCTATGTCTTGTCGTACAATTGATATACCAGTTGTCTACGCGAATATATAATTCCTAGTTTGAATGCACTTCTTTGTCTTTTTCTAATCGCTTCGGTGTTTTTCCATGATTTTCCACTTAGAAGAAGAGAGAGGTAAAAGAAAGAGTTTGACGGGAGAAGAAGAACTCCCCAGTATATATCTCATGTTGAATACAAACTTGAAATTAAATTCTACAATAAACTACAAGATCACCCGCACCAAAAACTTCGCATTTCCACTCCACTGAGAAGTTCTGCTATTGCGTTCCTGCATGGCTCTGTTTCATCCGCCATTGAATCGCTGCGCAAAGCGTATATAGAGTAGTCACAATTGGCATGGCAACACCGTGGCGCTGTCCCTCCCGCAATGGCTCCCCAAGAATGTATTCAAACTCAATAAGTCGGTTCTGGTTCATTCGTTAGACCCCGGGACTAACGACAAGCAGCAAAAGGCGAGATCAGACTCACCTTGCGAACATCTTGAAGCATGCTTGGAACAAAACGATCTTCGATGGGATCGGTATCAATCATTGTCTCGACAATATCCACTGACAGCTCATGGCCTGAGGCTTTAGCCGCAGCCGCGATTTCTGTCATTGCGCTCGATATCAAGATACGGGCGTGATGACTACTGAGCCTCAAGGCACCCGTATCCAGGTCCGTGATAGCAGAAAGAGCGTTGAACGATACATTATAGACAAGCTTCCTCCATCTATGCCAGTTGGTATTGGCCGTGTAGTTGCATGATGCCCGGCCTGAAGCAGCATAGATGGCAACAAATTGTCTTGCGGCTTCCATTTCGCGGTTGGCATCGAGCTGCTGGTTGTGAAAAGCTCCAATGCTCAAGTCGTCTGTACTTGTGTGCTCAATGACTCCAGGGCAAATCTCCTGGGCGCCAATCATGCTGATGCCCGACAGCACGATATTCGTTGGAAATTTCTCAAAATATGGTTGTTCAATGTTGAGTCCATTTTGAATAAGCACAATGACTGTGAAACCTGGACTGACACATTTGTCAATTTCTGAAACGATATTAGGTGAACAATCCATAATGTTCTTTGTCGTAATAACGACAAAATCGTAGGGTGTGTCGCCAGGCCCAAGCCGTGGTATGCTATGCAAGACTAATTCCGCATTATATCAGCTCCAATTTTACAATACGTCAAGGGCTGCAATTCACCTGTTGTTGGTCTCCAGCTGGGTATGTCGCCATGATCGCATGACTTGAACTCGTACCCTTTCTTGTTCACGACCGCAAAATTAGATCGTAGGACCGCGGTGACGACTGCTCTCGAGCCAGTTTCCATGTTCAAGGCGGCCATGGCGCCGAGAGCGCCGCCTCCTATGAGGAGAATATTCGCCTGGTGCTCCATTATCGGGAAGGTACTTGACGGAAAAGAGTTATATGCGCAATGGAAATGCAGTGGCTGTATTGTAAACTTAAATAACCGCGTGGTTACCGAGGAGGATGAGTTCTTAACTTCTCATATTAGATGCCATTCTCGGAATAGTGTCTACACACTTGCAGCCCCACAAGCCAATGCCACTACCAAGTACCAATATTACGAATAGGATTGATACATTAGGCTTGCTTAAGTGCCTGCTGCATATATTTCACACCGCCAATACAGGCCTGCCTTGCCTTTCCCACAGCTCTGCCATTTTGCGCCAGTTCTTTTCATTCCCTGCCCAATACTCTACCAGGAAGAGCTCCACCTCCTTGTAGTTGTTGAACCCGGTTCCCTCAATGATTGCTTGGTACCATTTGGAGACGAGAACTTGTCGTTCCTCCAACCCGTGACTCTCTATTCCAGCGATGAGTACTGGCCAAGGCAAAGTTTGAATAAGTGGGACGTTTGCAATGAAGTGGTCCAGTTTCTCCATGAGCTCTTTTGACAAGACCTGAACGGCCGGATCCTCTGGCTTTAGGCGGCAGGCAGTACGATAGGCAAAGAGTAGTGCTGCTGTATGAAAAACATCCGCTAGCAAGATGAAGTGCAGTCGTGTACTATCATCTGCAAGTGCGGGCGAAGCGGCAGCGTTCATCATAGTTAGGCCACGAACTGTTTCGAACTTGGTGCGAAGAACGCTTGCAGGTGGGATCTGCGAGGTATTCGTTTCGCCTTTCCAAGTGTAAGTGTTTATTTCATGGATCAACTTCATGTATTCTGATAATATGGCCTCCGGGTCGTTGGATTCTTGAAGGACGACGTCTTGGCTATTCATATGAAGGCGAGTTGTGGTTGACGCCAATATATCAATTGTGGAAAATTGCGCTCGTAGAAATTGATAGAGCTCGCTTGTTTCGGATCGGGAGATGGAGACAGCGTGGATCAGGGTTCGTGCGCCAAGTCGATGGGAACACCACAGCATCGACTGACTCCCAATACACTCGTAATTTGATAAGACCAAGATTGACGCCAATATCCATTCCACAGTGTGAAGTTCAAGTGATACTGCCGCGCCGCTGCTGCTCATCATGTTTACAGTACGTTCGAGTTCCCGCGTGATGTGAGAAATCACAATGTCGTGAGCGTTTTTGGAGAACATTGAGGAGGAAGCTTTCCGGGACATAGCATCGTGCTCCGATGCTATAGTGAGTATAGCGAGCAGTAGGATGGGTTGGGATCTGGCACGTGGAATGACCAGTCGTTTGTATGGATTGCTAGGCGAATCAATCCAGACCATGTTTCCAGCGATACGATCGTGATAGTAGTGAACCATTCCACATATCTCGGCGGTTGTGAGTGCCCCAGGTACTAATCGTGCTATGTCGACAGCAACGTCGCTCCATTTGGCCACCTGTTCGGATGATATTTCTTTTCCGCGGACATGGGACGGACCGATGACGATATGTTCATGAGAGGCTCCTGTCCCATGCAATTGTCGAGGTTCTGCTATCCCCCGAAATCGACCGCGGACTGCAATGGCGCCGGCCCACCGGAGGCGACGTTCGTAGCCTGGGCACGTCAAACCTTTTCTCTCGCATTTGCGACAACTAGGCAAAGTTTGGTCGCAACGAATTCGCCGGCGAAGACATGTTGCACAACCTTTACGTTTTCCGTCAGTTTCCTGGTCATTGACGCCGCCAGACTGGCGATCAGGAGCCTGTGATACCATAGTGCAAATATAGGAACCCGCGTCCGAGGTTGACTCAATGACTGATCGGCGTGGAACAATGAATTAGATAGAAAAAGCAACGCATGTTGTGTAGAATTCTCTAGCTCAAGAGGTTGTTCTGGACTTGTTAATTGGGCATCTGAAGCAGCGGGTTTTGGCTACTCATCGCACCAAGCGCTGGATTGGATAGCGGCTCGTTCATTCATGCATGGGGTGAGGAAGTACATCCAACTGCCACCAGGTAGGCACGGGCTGCTTGTAGGCAAATATAGTTGATCTAGCTTCCGATTTGCGCACAGGCTAGCTTCATTAGGGCAGCTAAATTAGGTAGGTGCCATGTGATAATAGTTGCTGTTTCAATGGTTGGCCATTGTAATATTATATGATTCGATTACGTTTTACCTATGGTAGGTGTTGCGTTGAAGTTGCACGTCTTGAAGTTATATACCTAGGTACATATATGCATTTTTGCCGAAATTGGAAATACTCATTCAAAGTCTTATTATTACCTACTCTCCTTAACTCCAAACATTTCCCCCCAAGACCTTTGGACCTAGACTTCTATCGATAACTGACACTAGGTGCCCTTACAAGCGTTATACTCGCTCGCTGACCGTGCTACAAATTTGGATTGAGTATATTTATTGGGATGTCCGATCACTTGTTTCGCTGTCTGATGGCTTTGTGTCGTCACGCTCTTTGGAAGTGACTGACAGGGGCTCCTTATCGGTGCTGCGAACACTCACACCATTCAACTTGAGTCCATTCTGGCTGTTCCTCAGCACTGAGTTAGTCTTGTCGACAACCACATCCTCCAATGGCAGCAACTCCAGAGGCGCAAGGAAACGCGCCTCTCCGTCTCCCGTCCCAGGCCGACTTCTGCTCGGAGAGTCCATGTCGCGGCTCACAACCCTGGTGACTAGTATGTCGTTGTGGGAATTTGATGACGAAACGCTCAGTGAGCGTACTGCCGCCTCATCGTCAAATTTAGCCCCTCCAGTAAAGCTGGGGGCACGGTGTATACCACCTCCCCGAAATCTGTCAATAAAACTGATGGGGAGCCCATGATTTTGGCGACGTCTGCGAATCCACAAAACATAGAATCCTATAAGCAGGGCCACAGCAGCAATGCTACCAATGACTGGGGCAGCAATCCAGGCATTGGAAGAAGTAGTCGCCATTGAAGAGACTGCAGTGGACGTGGCTAGTCCAAGGGAGGGGATGGAACTCGATGTGGTTTCGGAAAGGGGCAAAATTGTTGAACTGCTCGTCAGAATTCTTGTCGATTGCGAGGATGGGTCATTGAGAGAGGCAGTATCAGGAGTGTTGGCTGGAGACAACTGCGCAACAGACGGTGTCGCCTGCAATACCGAAGAACTAGGTTGAGAAACAACCATGGGTACACTGTTGTCAACGGTCATGAAGGCTGAATCAATTCCTGCCTTTGATAACAGGCCGCCCGTCGTCACGGTGGTCTTGAGGAAACAGTTCTTGAAGCCTTGGGATTGCTGAACGTCATAACTGACACCACCACATGCCGTCATTGCCGCGCAGGCATTCAGGCAAGCATCGAACGTGGGCTGAAACTGCTGCTCAATGTCGTTGCCAGCAAAGACTTGACCGCACTGCAAGTTGAAGTTCTTCGAGGTCACGAGCTGGATTGCGCCTGTGCCCAAGGAGTCACACCGCGAGGAAGGCGGTGGATTGGGCAAGATTCCAATTGCAGAGTCGGCATTTGTAGTTTTCTGAAACTGCGCGCCCATGAATGCAGTCTTGAATATACAGACGTTGTCGAGTCTGAAGGTGACGCCATCGCATCTTGTACCTTGATAGGATGTGCTGTAGATTTTTCTGTCAGCTCAACTCGAAGCAAGCTGATAAAGAAGAATAAATGTTGGAAGCTTACCATATACTGACGCATGTGCCTAGGGAGTCGACCTGCATGCGATCTATCTCGACGCCTCCGATATCGAGCCCGCACAGCACATTGAACTTCTCCACGTCACCAATCTGGGTGCCGTTACCATTAGGACATGGGAAATGACTGTTGCCTGCGCCGACTTGTCGGGGCATGATATCTTCTGGAAACATATTCATAAGGCAGCGCGCTGCACTGCAAAGGAGTGTATTGGATCGGGAAAACGAAAACGAATTAAAAAAAAAAATGAAGAAACGAGTGACAGACCAAACACCTACATAGATGGTCTTAATGGGACATCTTGAAGTTAAAAGAGAGTATAGACTGCGTCGAAAACGAAAGAGAGAGAAAATAGGAATGCGATGCTTCAACCGTCACAGTCACGGTCTCGGTCTTATAGGACATTGTGCGGCTTGGAGAGAATATACCCGGCGACATATCCGTGTATCAGCATCATGGGCCGAAGGACACCAGAGTGGTGTATTGCGAGCAAAGACGGCCCACGCCACCATATTGGAAAATAGCCGCGCGTGGTTAAATCAACCACGAGACGACAGGAGAAGTTTACTGCTTCAGCCATCATAGTCCAGTCATTAAGGGGCGAATAGAAGAGGTCGAATGGTATATTTTAAGATGTCTCTTGGAGGCCGTGAGCTTTGGTTCAAAGACTCATTTCGGCAACATTTTGAGTCAAATTCCGACTGACTATGGTCGCCCAACAGCCTGGAATCTGATCTTGCAGATGCAAACACGTGCTGCAAACATACATCTGTTCATCTCAAGTCTTCAGACGAAAAGCAATGCCCGTGCGTTTGTCGCTCCTTGATGAGAGGCTGAGCTTACATATTCACTTGCCTTAATTGTGATTTCGACTGATCGTCAGTCTGTAACAGAGTCCCCGAGTTCAACCTGATAGATGTCAGATGGATGTCCCCGTGATCATCAATTCATTTATTCATGCGAACTGGTCATCCGGGAGGCCCAAGCTCTCGGGGTGCTCAGAAGGGCCAGCCCGCTAAAGCCGGCTCCCAGCCAGAGCCCCAAAGCGGCACTAGAGTCTAATAGCTTGCGTCCCGTGCCCCAAGCAGCAGCTTCCCCAACCCACCCAAACCACCCTACGCGCTTCCCCCCACTCACCAGAGTCAGCGGAGAGCTGTGAGCCACGGCCAGGCAAAGGCACCTTAACGTTACGTCAGGGGACCGGTTGACACACAACAGTTGATCTACATACATTGTGCAACTCCTCAGCCTCGCAGCCTGGCCTTGTTTATAACGTATTGCGAACTTCTTGCGCATCTGCGCATCTAGTACTTTCGGATAACGGATTCCCAGACATGAGCTCGTCGTCGCTCCAAAAATGACCTCGAGCCACAGTGATCGACTCCCTCCTCGGTAGCTTGCTTGGTTGCGTCCCTCTCTTTGTGATCGACAGCACCCGGTCACGATACGATGGGTCAGGCATACTCTCTCACCACGCCGTACGCCGGCTCCGCGGGCATCGATGTCCCCGAACTCTCTGACCTCGTACACGAGAGGTCCCTCGGAGATGCGCGCTTCATGAAATCTATCCGCGCACGCAGCTACGATGGGCTCGTTCTCGCCAAAGTTACCGTCAAACCACACACTCCCATGTCCTTGAAATCATATGGCGTCAAGATTCTCAAGGAACGCGATAAGCTTCAAGATGTGCCCAACGCGCTGGGCTTTGAGCGCGCTTTCGAAACGGACACGAACGCTTATCTGATACGCCAGTTCATGTACAGCTCGCTTTACGACCGCTTATCGACGAGACCATTCCTGGAAGATATTGAGAAGAGATGGATTGCTTTTCAACTACTATGTGCGCTTCGGGATTGCCATGCACGGGACATATATCATGGAGATATCAAAACTGAGAATATCCTCGTCACCTCCTGGAACTGGGTGTATTTGACAGACTTCACTGGGTCTTTCAAGCCAACCAGACTTCCCGACAATAACCCGGCCTTATACTCGTACTTTTTTGATCTTTCAGGACGTCGAACATGTTATATTGCGCCGGAACGATTTCTCGCGCCCGGGGAAGAGGCAAAGGAGAGCGACAAGATTACGTGGGCTATGGATATCTTTAGTGCCGGCTGCGCTATTGCCGAGCTGATCCTCGAAACTCCCATCTTCAGTCTCAGCCAGCTGTTTAAGTTCCGGCGTGGCGAGTTTGACCCCGTTATATCGCATCTCAGTCGTATACCGGATCAGGGACTGAGAGAAATGCTCTCCAGCATGTTGGCCTTGGATCCCGAGAAGCGATATTCCGCAGAACAATACCTGGACATCTTCAAGGGGAAAGTCTTTCCAGAATATTTCTACACATTTTTGCACCAGTATATGGAGCTCTTGACCGATACTTCATCGGGACGCGCCCCTGTATCTGGCGCTACTAAGAATCTAGGCGAAGCCGACGATAGGATAGATCGAATCTTCTACGACTTTGACAAAATCTCGTACTTTTTAGGCTACCACGACAAGGAGATCAAGTCGGATCTGACTCCTTTTACGCCACGGCTAGGCTTGGGTCTCTTCCCTGTCATGCTCAGCATTCCAAACAATGAGCACTTTGTATCGGTTATCGCTCAGCCTGCGGCCGATGACGGTACCCTGATATTCCTTACAATGGTTGCTGCATCTCTACGGAATACAGCACGATCGGCCTCGAAAATCCGTGCCTGTGACGTCTTGTTGGCCTTTTCAGAACGACTTACGGACGAAGCAAAGCTAGACCGCGTCCTGCCCTACCTCATGACGCTGCTTAACGACGATGTTGACGTGGTGGCAATCGCTGCCTTGCGCTCTGTGACGCAGCTACTGGCAATGGTTTCTGCAGTAACCCCTGTGAATGCCCACGTTTTTCCCGAATACATCATGCCACGGATGCAGGTTTTCCTGGCTGGCGCGTCCCGCCAGTTGGTAATGGGGAAAGAGCGTCGAGAGCCGACCTCGCTGATGAGAGCCACCTATGCATCATGCCTAGGGAGTCTGGCAAGCACAGCGAGCAGGTTTCTGGAGATGGCTGCCATACTTCGTGCTGAAGGGTCAATAGCTACTGCAGACCCTGAAATCGAAGCTGGAACTGATGCAGAGACTGCATTTGACTCTCTCTTCGATAATGCCCAAAGAGAACTGGTGGGTCTCTTTGAAATGCATGCCAAGGCCATGGTTGAAGATTCAGACGCAGCCGTTCGCCGGGCTTTTCTGAGTTCGGTCCCAGAGCTGTGCATGTTCTTTGGAAGCGCAGAGTCAAACGATATCCTCTTGACTCACCTCAACACATATCTCAACGATCGTGATTGGATGTTGAAGTGTGCCTTCTTTGACACTGTCGTGGGCATTGCTACTTTTCTCGGAAGCACGAGTCTAGAAGAATTCAACCTGCCACTAATGGTGCAGGCATTGGCAGACCCGGAAGAGCACGTAGTTCAAGCTGCCATTCATTCACTGGCGGAACTTGCAAGTCTTGGTCTCCTCTCTAAAGCGAAGACCTGGGAGCTCATCGACGTCGTCGGGCGTTTTACGATGCATCCAAATTTGTGGATTCGTGAGTCGGCAGCAGAGTTTCTGTCCAACGCGGCCAAATTTAGCTCGTCTGCATCCATCAGATGCGTTGTCTTACCACAAGTACAACCATTTCTGAAAGACTCCCTTATCCCCGACTTTTCTGAGTTGGGCCTTCTCGAAGCTCTCCAAAGGCCGCTATCGAGAACAGTCTTCGACCAAGCACTCGTATGGGCACAAAAGGCTGAGAAGAGTCTGTTCTGGAAGGCTGTACAAAAACAGAAGCAGTCCAACTTCACAATCACTACTATGGGAATGGTCAGAACTTCGAGAGAGCCTCAATCCCTTGCTTTGAGTAAGACTCCAAAGAATGATGAGGATGAACAGTGGCTCTCACGACTCCGCAATTACGGGCTCACTCCAGACGATGAGTTCAAACTAATTGCGCTCCGGGAGTTTATTTGGCGCTTGAGCAGAATGAAGGATCGGGAGCCTGTATTACCAGAGGGCGGTACAGGCCTGGCACCGATCCTCCTGCTGCGCAACATCATGGAAAAGTTCCAGGTGCAAACGATCATGTTCGACGACACGGTGCCACCACTTGCGCTGAAAGATGGCGAAGTCGGGCTAGATTTGTCCAAGGGCCCGTATACCATTGCCGATGCTTTGCTTGATGCTTCAATGACGATTGATGAACCACTAGGCCGCAGAAGGGTCGCTGCTCTCAATACTCATCGGTCCCGTCTGGGCGCACAAGGCGATGCTGTTTCTCCCAGAACATCCATCTCCCCCACTGCTGGGCAAGCATCATCTTATCCAGATGGAGAGTCGCGGCGCGCATCCTCTGCCGTACGGGGACGCCAGGAAAACCGCGATGATGCCACTGACGCATCCGAAAGACCGTACTCAGTCCGGCGTGCTTTCCGCCCACAGTCAAGCGCTCTGGATTTGTTGAGAAAAGATAGCAATAGATCAATGGCAGAGACCGGAACTACCGAAACTAATGCTTTTGGCCAAGTTGAAGGTCCTTTTGTGCCAAACGCACCCAAGATCTCTTTGCCCGGCTCTGCCGGAGAAAACGTGGACTTGACCACCGTCAATGACACGGAAGGAAGGCAGAAAGCCTCGCATACTTATGAAGGCAATGATCCAAACATTCTGAGGATGTTGGATGGAATGTTTATCGACAATTATCCTCACGACATCGCCGAGTTTGGCCCTGTCGTGACTCCCGTTTCGAGAAAGACGAACAAAAATGCGGCGCAAGCACCAGCAGAAGCTTGGAGACCAAATGGCAGACTTGTGGCCACTTTTGCTGAACATACAGGAGCCATCAACCGTATTGTGCCGTCCCCCGACCACATGTTCTTCATCACTGGCGGTGATGACGGCTGCATCAGAGTATGGGACTCGGGTCGATTGGAACGTAATGTGTCGCACCGTGCACGCCAAACCCACAGGCATGCCCCGGGAGCAAGAGTTGTCGCATTGTGCTTTATAGAAAATACACATTGCTTCGTCAGCTGCGCTACAGACGGGTCAGTGCACATTGTCAAGGTTGACACCGTTATTTCAAGTAACGGATCGCCAAAGTATATTCGGTTGCGACTGCTTCGGGAGTATCAGCTCCCTGCTGAAGAATATGCCGTCTGGTGCACACATTTCAAACTCGACCTTCCCTCAGTACTTCTTCTCGCAACCAATCGTTCTCGGATCTTAGGCATCGACCTTAGGACAATGACACTCCTCTATACTCTGGAGAATCCAGTACACCACGGTTTCCCTACCTGCTTTGTCGTTGACCGGAAGCGCTATTGGCTTTTACTTGGCACATCACATGGCGTTCTCGACCTGTGGGATCTACGTTTCAAACTTCGCTTGAAGAGCTGGGGTATTCCTGGAAAATCTCCAATCCACCGGTTGGCCTTACACCCGAGCAAAGGTCGTGGCAAGTGGGTGTGCGTCGCTGGCGGTACTGGTCTCCCGGAAGTCACCGTTTGGGACTTGGAGAAAACCCAGTGTCGTGAGATTTATCGAGCGGCTGGAGCATCGTCAAGGGAAGGTCCGAAGGAATACAAGGCCTGGGATGTCGATGAGGACAAACCCGAAGGTATGCTCGGCCGTTTCGCCACCAGTATTGAGCCCTCATCACAGACGGTGGACCGGTGTGTCAAAGCCATGACCGTGGGAGCCGGAACAACAGGTGACCACGATCGTGATGTTCGAAACGGGTACATCATCACTGGTGGTGCAGACAAGAAGCTGCGCTTCTGGGATCTCAACAGGATTGAGCAAAGCAGTGTTATTAGTGGTTTAGTACCAAACGATGATGCTGGCGCGACCAAGCCTGTTTTCGTTGCACATACCTCGCCAAACAATCCCAACCTCACCCTCAACCTGGAGCGATTGCCCAAGACATCAACGAATGCCGAGCAGACAGCCGGAAAGAATGGCGAGACTGCACCATCCAAGAAAAGGGAAAAGCCGCCTAGACATACTGTTATTTCCGCAGAACAGGGCAAGCTTCTTCGGAGCCATCTAGACACGATCCTCGACATTGCAGTCCTAGAGCATCCATACACAATGACCGTCTCAGTCGACCGCTCGGGGGTGATTTTTGTTTTCCAGTAGGAATGGGATCAAGATATGATGCGTGCGATTAGGTTGAGAGGGGACAGAAGAGGCTTGAGTGAAAGTTTTATAATTCCTGAGAGGGTTGAAGAACATGATCAGGGAGTTGGTATGAGCCAATGAGGGCGGTCGAACATCACGATAATGTTTGGCCGTACGGATATCTGTAGTCGTGTTAGCGCCTATACCACCGTTTAACGAAACCCATTTTTGAAACATGTATTGCTAGACAAAATTCATGTGAGATGTGGCTGCTAACGTACACCACTTCTGGATTTAGGGACGAAGGAAAGATCGAACATCAGCTCCTCAACTTTGTCTAGCATGCACCATGTCTAGATTTCTGACCCATGGGTACATTCGTGAAGGTAAAAACCTCCGGCATCCATGACCAATACCAAGGTATAGTAGCTTAAGATGATTTAGCAGTATGGAGTAGATGAAAGTTTATCTATCTTGTATTTTAAGCACTCGTATTGAGCGGGTAGTAATAGAAGGGGGAGAAAACAAATCGACCGAAAACTGTCTATTGGTTCACATCTCAATGCTTGTCCGTGAATGGATACCCATGGAATTCCCGTGGAACAACCATGTTTGATAGGCATATGTTCGCTTGCAACTTGTCAAAATCTTGGGCCCGTGGGCCAATGCTACCCACAGATCTGAGGAATGAAATAAAATTAACACATGGTCAAGGTGCAACTTCACCGGACAAGCATTGCCAAGTCTTCCCTGGCCGTCGATTATGACACAAAGAAGCAGGATCATAATGACTTCTACTTGGCTGGATCGAGTTGAATCCTCTGCGTACCGGCTTCCGACAAAAGCTTAACACGATGGTATCAATTAGAATGGAACCGGATTGATTGTGTTATCCACGTCAGCGCGTAACTATGGTGAGTACTATGCACACCGAGAGACTAGGTGATTTTTAGTGTCCAACTATTCAGGCAGCTGGACAAATCTCACACTATAAAATAAGCCCCTGAGCTAGCCGGTTTCCGGGGAGGATTTCTTAGGAAGTGACGATTTTTTGGGCTTGGCCGCACGAGCATGAGCTGGGGACCCATAACCGTTGCCCCATAAATGTTTCAGAGGAGACGAGAGGATGATGATGTGGTTATCGAGTTTTATTTTTATTTTTATTTTTATTTTTTGGTTCCCTGGTGCTGTCAGTCACCTCCCAATCCTCAATAAGCTTTACCAACGCGATTAATGGCCATGCCAGCATGGTTTTCTCTTGAGGAATACATTACCGCCCCCATGGAGTCCAGTTGGTTCATGGTGGTGGTCATGGATGCTGTGCCAAGCTCGCTTGTAGACAGTTTTGAGCCTCAACTGACAGCGCCAATATATCGGTACCATGTCAGGGGAAGGGAGAGCATCTAGAACCATACTTGGCGCCTCACGATGCGCCTATAATATCGCTTACGCAAACCACTATACGAGCACCCACGGCTGGTGCTACAGTACTCAGTCGTCTTTTGGTAAGAGACCCAGTGGTCCCAAGACTGTTGAGCAGCTACGGCTACCCCGCGGCTCTTCCGAATGAATCTGCAAGGAGAATGAAATATTGCGCGTGTGATGTAACGCATTCATGCGAAAAACAAGAGCAATCAATACACGATATGAGATAGATTCGCAGCCTCAAGGTTGATCGCTGTCGAATTCAGGTGGAAGAGGCTCAAAAAGAGCGACCACAGCTGATGACCTCGGCTGCTTGTTGGCCGGCACGCGGCGCATCAACAGATGAGTGGTCAATCTCCGAAGAACATTCAGATCAGACAGCCCAAACATTCCTTGCCCCACGCGTACCGTTTCTAGATAATTGCAGTCCCCATGTCAATAAGATCATCGACCAGCAGCCGCCCAGCTCCTCGGTGCGTACCGAGAAGCGAATGTTAGCGGCGCGGCTCCAGAGAACCCACTCCGCCCGTTACAGTTATAATGTGGCAGGGGACCCTCGTCGCCTGTACCCTGTCCAGCTCATGAGGCTCTCCAGCACTTTACACAGGGGGTAGACGATGCATCTGCCATGATGCCGATCCTATGGGCGTTTACTTGGGGACATGGGATGAAACGTTTGGACTGGCTGGCCGGGTACCTACCTGCACTACTTGCACACGACTCTATCTCTCCTGGGTGGAGGTTACCGGCGGACATGATCCATGGGCTCTCTCCCATATGGATACGGCGGAGCCGCAAAACGTTCCTGGCCATGCTTAAATATAAGACGGGCCTTGTCCCCTAGGACATCTCGAGAAGTCTTTTCTTGTCTCTCAACCATCTTCAGCCATCTCATTCTTTGTACTTTGTTTCTTCGCTCACTTGACAGGTCGGTGACCTCAGACGTTCTTTTATACACTTACAACTTCGGCTTCGCACAGGTGCAACTGCTGCTTTCTTTCAATCAGCCCAATCAAGTCCGCTTTGCTTCGCTTCTCTCAGCTATCAATACAATAAACCAACCCCCAACAGACAAGATGAAGTACGCCATTACTTTCGGTGCCGCTGTGGCCCCCATGGTCGCCGCCCACGGTATGATCAAGACGCCCACTCCTCGTAGCGCTGGTACCGCCATGTCGTCTGCTTGCGGATCTCAGATCTACAACATGTAAGTTCCCCAAAACCTGTAGTCAAGATAAAGGAAACATGATCTAAAACATTTCGAACTTACCAGGATGAGCTCCGACTCGTACGGCAACATCCAGGGTGAGACGCAGCTCATTGGCAGCGACTTCACCGACGAGTGCAACCTCTGGCAGTGCAAGGGAATGCAGTACTCGGACAACACGGCCAACGTCCAGAGCTACTCGACCGGCGACGTTGTCGACATTACCTACGACATTCGCGCCCCCCACACCGGTACCGCCAATGTCAGTATCGTCGACACGGCCTCCAACACCATCATTGGTGATGTTCTCGCCTACTGGAGCGTCTTCGCCTCCAACTCGCAGGCCAGCGCTGCCAACGAGACCTCCTTCTCCATCACCATTCCCGATCTTGGTGGCAAGTGTACCACTGGCGGCGAGTGTGTCATTCAGCACTACTGGGACAGTCAGTCCGCTGGTCAGACTTATGAGTCTTGCATCGACTTTACTGTCGGCGGCTCCAGCAGCGGTAGCTCTGGAAGCGCCAGCACTACTGTAAGTCAAGTTGATAGGTGAATGAAGATATACCAATGGTTACTAATATATCAATCAGACTGCTGCCGCCACCAGCGCCGCCGCTGCCACTTCTCAGGTGGCCACCACTTCCCAGGCCGCCACCAGCGTCGTTGCCGTGAGCAGCACCAAGTCGGTCGTTTCCGCCGCTGCCACCAGCTCCGCCGCCGCCGAGACTGGCGACGATGATGAGGATGACAGCTGCGATGCCGACGATGATGATGAGGCCGAGGATGCTGGCGATGACGAGGACGACGACAGCTGCGATGCTGACGACGAGGATGACGAGCCCGTCGCCAGCTCTGCTCCCGCCTCGAGCGCTGCTCCCACCACTCTGGTCACCCGTACCTCCACCGCTGCCGCCCAGGCTACCTCTGCTGCTAGCTCTGGCTCCAGCTCTGGTGAGTTGCATTGATATCGCTGAGCGAGCCAAGGAATGAAGCTAACCCATAATCAATAGGATCCGTCGCTCTCTACGGCCAGTGTGGCGGTATCAACTACTCCGGAAGCACCACCTGCGCTTCGGGTACCTGCACGTGAGTTACCAAGAACATCCCTTGTATATAATTTCAATGGATGAACAAGAAGCTAATGTTTTCTGATTAAACTAGTGTCATGAACGACTACTACTCTCAGTGCGTCTAAATGGCAAGAACTGCCGTTGTGGTAATGTCTAAACATGCCAAGACCTAGACGTTGCTGTGTAGCGAACTTTTGCTTCATATTGTATATATTGAGATGCTTCCAAGGGGGCGTGTAAAATAGACTTGTGGTTGATTCATTTGACTTGTCCCCTCCAAAATGTGATGTTCAAAGAATGGCTGTATACTAGTAAAAACTCAACATCTGATAGCGAAGTGAATGTAGACGAATGTCACCTTTGCGTGTTTCATTCTCTGCATAAAATTACCTCTTACTCAACAAAGTCTGATGGTACATCCGGCCCTATCTTTTGGTCAGCCTCATGGCTCCAATTTGCTTGCATATTGTGAGGAAAGCAGCCTTACCCCAAACGTGGAGGCCATCGGGTGAAGCCAGCGATCTGTGTGGAGCTTGCGTGGAATCCACGAGATCACCATCGACATAGTGCTCCATGATGAAGCCTGCAGGGTCGTACCTATAGGTATCTAATTTCAGCTCTCGAACTTATGCCAAGAATACTAGTGGAAAAGAAAACATTCCGTCTTACCAGTAATCAAAGATTTGGCTGCCGAGGACGTGGCGTCCAACGCCCCAGCAGTTCTTGTAGCCTTTGGCTCTCAGCCAGTCGTGGCCGAGTACTTGAGTGTCAAAGTCGTGCGTCTCATACGACGAGTGGTGAACGTGATATTTCGGTCCTTGGTAGAAAAAAAAGCAGTGGTGGTCCACTTGCTCCGCGCCCCGGTCGAGCCGAAGAAAGGTAGTAACATCGACGCCTTCGGCATTGTGGACAATCTACACATGTTACACCGTGAATTCAAGAGTGCTTCGATATATATGAGGAGTTGAATTTATACTTACGTCACTTGGGATGAAGTTGAACCGCGATGTGTAAAACTCAAAGGTCTTGGAGTAGTTTGTGGTGCAATGACCCCAATGTCCAAGCTTATGGACAGGTGCTGGCCGTTTCTTGAAGCGCTGTGTCTTGTTTACGGCTCTGTTCTTTTCAGTTGGCTATATCATGTTATTGAATGACTTATCAAGATATAATGTTCAAACAGAAGTTAATTCCTCCGTCATCGATGAAACTTACATAATTCACGGCCTCGTGTGGCAGTGGAATATCCAGCATATCAACAGTGTCCTGGCCCCAAACCAGGTGAAACGGGAAGCCGTCAACTGGATCCAGAAACGTCACACGCTTACCACCTCCAGGCGCGTCTTCGATATCATGGATCTTGCTTGCCTTGGGCAGCGTCTCGGAGGCGACTCGCAGGTCTTCTTCAGACTCGACCACGTAGGCGACGCCGCCAAACTCGTTCTCCCCCCGGCCGCCGGGGTTCCGGATCGCACAAATGACCCATGGTTCTGTCCCATAACCGCGGAAATAGATCTTGTCCTCGCCTACTCGCTTCTCTTCCGTGAAGCCAAAGTCTGCCAGAAATTGGGCCGCCGTTTCCAGATCTGCGTACTTGTAGTAGGCGTGCGCTATGCGCTTCAGTGTTATTCTCTTGTGGGGTTCCGGGCCGGCCATGGTGGGGGCGCTCCGAGCTGGCTTAGGGTATAGTCAAGCAGGGTTGAGGAGGGCGCGATTTTCAGGAGTTTTCTATTCAAATACGCTAAGCATTATTATGAGTACAGAAGATGGTGTTTTGGAATGAAATATGACTTTATAGAGAACCAAGATACCCGAAATTCGGTTGGCCGAAGACGATTAAATTGGCTATATATGTGGTGTCCATGGGCAAATCTATCCGGAGCTGTTGGAGTAGTCCGATCCGTAAGCGTCCGGCATTATTACCGTTGACCCTTTTTCGGCAAAAGAAAAAGAAAAAGAGAAAAAGAAAATGGGAGAAAAGGAGGCGAAGACAGAAATCTTGCTTTTCCTCAATAATCTCGCGTTGGCTCGAATGTCCGCCTGTCAAACTTCTTCATGTAAGTGGGACGCTTTGCTGTTTAAAAAAGCCCAATCGATCACACTTTTTGAATGTAACACACTGATATAATAGGACTGCATATATGTATACACTACCACCTCTTTCTGAAGTCAAAAACGAGGGGAAAAAATGAACAAAGCCCAAGCATTGAGAAAAATCTACGGAAGCATAGCCGCAAGCCTCAAGGGCTACTACTTGTACTGGCATCGTTAGTTAGTGATGATAGCCTTTCTATAAGTCAACGCACTCACCAAATTCTCCAATGCCAAGGTCGTGATGACGCATTCAGAACACTAATAGCTAAACACTCCCGGGTTCACCTTTAATCTGAGTGATTGCCATTACAAGTATGTGAATACCTCCGGAGTCTTTCGATTCTCTGGTAAACAGCGCATCAATCTGGCCTCAAAATGTTTCAATGTCGTGTTGCCAGCTGAAATGTCTTCCGTCTGTCGCAGTATTGCGAGCAAAATATCGGAAGAAGGTAGAGTAACGAGGGTGTCACTAGACTCTTCATTGCTTATATCAATAGGTGTGTTGACGGAGGCCCCATATTTCAGCATTAGCAGGACAAGTCCCAGCCAATCCTGGAAATACGTGGACTGGCGTTCTGACACCACATTTATTGGGGAGGACAGGAAGCGGTGACAGCCCGCTTCCAAGGCGTGGGCCCATGTTGGGAGAAGGCTCCTCGTCGCCTCCATGGTGCCAGGGTTGTCTGGTTGTGCCATATAGGGAAGCAGTGTTTTGCACATATCGATGCCTATATCTGAATCTGATATACTGTAGCGGTAACTATGGGCGAAGCTGAACCCGTACGAAGTCCGGTAGGCCAATCGAAAGACGGGCTTCTCACCACATGGGGATTGAAATCTCCATAATCGACAGGCCTCTTCCGCACGTTGTGACGGACTCTTGAGACTAAGCTTCAACTTGACATACTCGCTCAAGTCTGTTTGGGCTGCGAATGACATGAAGTCCTCAGGGTCAGGTAGGCAGAAGTCCCATTGTGTGGGACTGTGATAATCTTGAGCACTTTCGAATGCTGTGAACCATGCCATTCGAGGGGGTTCGCAAATCGTTGGGTGGAAGCTCTCCATTCCCTCATTCTTTCCGAAAATCTGCAACACACTTCTCCGTTCGTTCATTCTATCCACCAAAGATGCATAAGCCATCGGATCACGAGAGTATCGATCCAGGTGATGAACATGATTGAGAAGGTCAATGGCTGACACCAGGGCTTCTCGACGCCCCCGTTGAACATCGAAAGCTCGAGTGCGTAGAAGCCGGTCGACTACGTCATTGAGAGTGATGAAACCTTCGATGAGTGCGGAAGAGCAACTGACTAGTTCAAAATCACCTTGATCGCCAAACACCGAATTCCATGTAGATGGCCGTTCTATGAATTGTTTTGCGGTTTGGTGCATGAAGTTGACATACGGGTCAGCCACGAGAAATCCACCACATCGACTCTGGAGTCGGCGTTGATAGGTTCTGTATATGCCAGCGGAGCTTGTACTTTCTGTCTCATTGACCTGTATGCAGCTTCCAAAGCCATTGGCTTGGATCTTCTCGAGTGACTGAGCCGCAAATGAGAGGTGAAGCAGATGTAAAGGCACTTGTACACTGGCAACAAGTACAAAGAGTCTTGCCGACTCAAACCTGTCGGATTTGACAATGTTCCTCAACATCGACATGTAAAGCCCTTTTTTGTCACCCAGTCGGCTGGGGAACTTGTCCAACGCACACAACAGCTCTTCCGGCCTATTCCCGTTGAAGTTGTCATTGATCAGTCTATCAACGACAAGTCTGACCCAGAGGAATACACCAGAAGCTTTTTGTGCGATGGTGGTTGCAAGCCTCTCTATTTCGCATAGTCCATGTGTCTCCTGAGATAGCCGTCCATGAGAGTAGCGATAGATATCATTCCAAGTGTGAACATGCACCTGGAGTCTTGGCAATTCTTGAAAGCTCTCCTCAAAGACTGTTAGTTCCCGGCACGAGAAACAGATCTTGACGTTTTTCCTTGAGCACAACTCGAGAACGAATGTGGAAATTTCGCGATAGCCATCCGCGATCCACTCACTGAACCCCCAAGCAGCATCGTTATCGCCGCCATCATAGATCAGATCCTTCTGTTCGTCAGTGTACTCTCCGATTTGCTCTATTAAACGGAACTCGTCCAAGCCGTCCAGGAACAAGAACAACTTTGTCCCACGTGCTTCGAGATCTGATATAGCCTTGCGCAGAATGGATTTGAGCTTGCGCCAGCTACGTTTGCAATCAGATTCAAAAAGTCTCATGGGCACCTGGTGTAGTATTTGAGAGATCAGACTTCGCAACATTCCCTCACGGGACTTTTGAAGATCTGAACCTTGCTCGTAGAAGAAATAGGTTGCAAAAACGATTGGTGGAGAATCAGAAGCCCATTGACTAGCCTTGATCGAAGTCTCCTGCGTTTCTTTGAGGTACTTCATGAGTGTGGATTTTCCACTGGCTGCTTTTCCACTGATGAATAGACCTTGATAGGAAGAGTCGATCCAAGTTGCAAATGTTAGATTGTGAGCCTCCGTCACGATTGTTGCGTTTGAGGCGATCCACTCGAACGTCGACTCATAAGCATCATCGATATCCGATTCACGATCATCAATCTCCGCAAATGACAGGTGCTGAACTTGCCATTTCATGTGATCTGTGAGGAGACTTGATTCTTGAACTAGTAGATGATGAACAAAGTTAGGTGTCCGTGTTGGTCCATAGCTCGTCGAATTGACACAAGACTTCTATATAATCACGCACCTTCCTCTGCAGTCAAGCTCGGTGTCACCAAGTCAATAAGTAGTCCCGCAACTCTTTCATACATAGGATCATCCCTGGCCCCGAACTTTACCATATCGATGTGGTTCGCGTTGATGGAGCTACGTAGAACATTGTATCCGTCATAGGAGGCCGACGCTTCGGGCACGATCTATTCTTCTAACATTAGCCAGTGCTTCACGGCCCTGTCGATAACTATTACTCACCATGCCGATGGCAGTTGGTAACTCTTCCCGCACGCAGACGACAGGAATATTATTTGAAATTGTGGTCCATGATTCTCTTTGATGCTCCAAAATCTGAGAGTTCTCCTTGAGGGCATCAAGTAAAGACTTGTTCGGTCGTCGCCAGGCGAGCTTTGCGATTCCGGCGATGATCTCGGCATAGCCCTCCGTTGACGATCCTCGATGCGGTGTTCCGAAAAAAGCCACACCACAGGTACTGGCGTAGATCTCGGCTTGTCTCGGGTGTCTGTTGTGGCTCTTGTATTCTGCGGACTTTATAAGCGCGGCTTTGACTATGAGTCCTCCCAAACTATGTGCCACAAAGACGATAGGTCGAGTCTCGGAGAAAGGTCAGAGAAGTTTCAAAAGTAAAGAATGGAGTATTTGTGACATACGATGTCCTGGCGCAAACGGGCGAGATCTCCCAAAAGAGTATCTGCATGGCCAAAGATGCTTTCTTGGCTGGCGTTGCTGAAGAAATGTGCAACATCGGCATCATATCCCCAAGTAATCACTCGTGCGCTGCGGATGTCATCCTTAAGGAGATCGCGTGGCCAACAGATGTTCCCTTTTGACCAGGTCTTGCGCGCGGAGCCTCGAAGGCCATGAACGAAGATGATGTCTACTCTGCCGCTGCTGTAGCCGCCAGTGCCGTCATACAAGACTCGTGGTCCACGGGATTTCGAATCGTAGTCTTCTTTTGTTTCATGCTTAGAAGACTTTGGTGTTTTCGTAAAAAGTTGATCCCAAGTTTTTCCCATCGTTGGTAGATGCGAATGAGGACATTGACGGTCGAAATTGAGTAGAAGAAAACCACACCTTTTGTACTAAGCAGAGGCGAGGCTGAGGTCAAGGGCATCCAACCCCGCATACATCTACGTGCTGGCTGTTCAGCAGAAAGGAAGCGAGCAAATGAGGTCTGACCAGGTGGCGCGAAGAAGGGAGGGGGAAGGTATGAGGAAAATCCGCCATTTTGAAGAGTCGTGTAAGTGTGCTCTACTGATTGGCTTATGCTCAGGCTGGAGAACATTGTTATCTATGAAGGTATAGCAGGGATATACTTCTGTCTCAAGCATTTTCGGAAGCAGTGCCAATGGGCGTCTTGTTAGTGAGTTCATATGCCTTGATGGGCAGAAGCATACTAGTGACAAGATATATGAACATGATACTCACATTCAATTCCCCATAGTGATGGTGTTGAACTTCAGTGCACCGAGTACGTACTATATCATAGCAAACTGTCCCCTGACTAATGACGCCACTGAGGGGCGATTCCGGCGCCGGACCATGCAATAGTCCACTGGATTTTATCACTTATCGCCGTTGCGGATTATACTTTCATCATTGTTATTAATTCCATTTGATGCCAATCGCTTCATCGCAAATTCCAGCTCGCACTCATTTTGCGTTCTTACTGTCACTAATCATCCTCCTCCTCCTCAGCTACCCGATCCCCGACGCCGCAATGCCCAAGAAGCTCTCCAAGACTGGGACGTCGACGTCGCTCTCGAGCATAGCGACGAGCTCGACGGCCTCGCTGGCCTCGTCGCTCCCGCCGGTCCTGACCGACGGCCAACCCCTGCCGCGCCTCATTGTCTTTGACCTCGACTACACGCTATGGCCCTTCTGGGTCGACACGCACGTGTACCCGCCGCTCAAGGCCAACGCCGACCGCAGCGCCTGCACCGACAAGGTCGGCGAGACTTTTGCCTTTTACCGCGACGTCCCCTCGGTGCTGCACGGGCTGGGCGCCGCGGGCGTCCGCCTCGCCGTCGCCAGCCGCACCCACGCCCCGGACCTCGGCCGCGAGATGCTCAAGCTGCTGCACGTCCCCGCGGCCGCCGCCCTGTTCCCCGGCGCCGACGAGGCTACCCTCAAGGAGCTTGCTGGCAAAAAGGGCGACCGCCCGCGCAAGGCCCTCGAGTTCTTTGACGGCGGCCTTGAAATCTACCCCAGCTCCAAGATTCGGCATTTCGAGGCCCTCGGCAAGCGTACCGGTATTCCCTTTACAGATATGCTCTTCTTTGACGATGAGAGCCGGAACCGAGATACCGAGACTCTGGGCGTCACCATGTGGTTGATACGCGACGGTGTCACTTGGGGAGAGATTGAAAAGGGCATCCAGGAGTGGAGGCGGAGAAGAGCAATGGACTCGTAAAGGCTATCGGAACGATTGGTGCATGGTGATCAAGAATTCATGATTGGAACCAACTCAGATTTGGGATATCGTTAGAGCATAGAATGGTGCATGGTGTTGGGGAGTTCATGGTTATATGATATTCAAGCATTCTATTTTACCCAATACAAATTATAAAAGACATTAAATATGCCATTCAGTGTAGATATATTGCAGGGCTCAAGCCGAAAGTTGAAACTTTCATTGCCCATCCAAGCGCCTCAACTCCCTGAAAGGATGGTCGTCTTTGTCTTATGAATAATGCCAAGTCAATAATTATCAGATATATCGCTGGGCCTGTGTGTAAGTCCTGGAACATGTCATAGAACGTAATCATGAAGCTTTTAAGAGGCAACAGGAGTCTCCTTTGTTGCGACAGGCTCGGATACAACCTTTTCCGAGGCGAGCGCAGCGTCCTTTTCGTCTTCAGCAATAGATAGCTTATTGATGCCGTCAACCGGGGCGTCGCCAGTCGCCGCCGGAGCCTCAGCAGTCTTCTGGGCTTCGGTAGTAGCTGGGGCAGCGTCCACGACCGTAGTCTCAGTAGTAGTGCTGGGAGCCTCGGCCTTGGCAGGGAACGCCTTGGGAACGGTCGCAAAGACTTCATTTCTCTGCTTCTGGTCCTTGTAACCAACGGCAACAAGCTCCACCGTCTTGCCGTCAGCCGCGGGGCGCACGTACATGGGACCTTCGGGGATCTTGGTGTGGCCGTTTTGGAAAGTCATGATGCGCTGGTACTCGGCGTCGTCCCATCTCGGCTCGTCAAAGAAATCCCACTCCAGCTCACCACCATACGGCTTGGGGATGTTCTTGATATCGATGAAGCTCGTCAGCACCGGAAGGACATCGGCAGGACCAAGGATGAAAATTTTGGACACGGTGACGGGGTCAAACCAGCGCTTGACCCATCCCCATACTGTCGAGAAAAATGGCGGGGCGCCAATAATAAAGATACCTGTACAAATGTTCAGCACTCATCTCCGTTCGCAGAATATCTCAAGTTACGAACGGTCAAGAGTCTCGGGGTAGTGCGCAGTAGCCAGCTGACTGGCCAGTTGCATATGGCTCTTAAGGTTCCAGAACATGCGCAGACTGACGTGCGAAATGTCCACAATGTTTGTACTCAGGGTGATGGGCGTGGACGCATTCTCTCGGTCGGTACACTCGGTCGAAAGAGGCTGCACGAAGCGGGTGAGGTTCTCGTACAGGGCGCACAGGCGGAGCAGCTTGGCGGGCGTGCTGCCGTCGGACTTTGCCTTGCTAAACGTTGTGTCGGCCGACTTTTCGTACTTTGCTACGGTGGACGAGTCGAGGTGTCGCACCTGGAACACATAGATGGGGATACCGCGGCGGTCTCGGCGGCCGGTGAATCGGGGATACTGCAACGGGTGATGGACGTCATGAGCACGCGCTTTTGTAGTACGACAGCGGGAGGATGCGCCAAAGCGTGGGGAGTAGTATTGAGTAAGGTCAGGGGAGCGGCCGTACAAGTTTCTTGGCCGTCTCGTATGCTTCAACGTCCATGGTATCGTAGAGCGTCTCTATATCGTTCGTCTTACGGAACTTTTCCGTGTCACTGAACTGGCCGAACGCATCTTGGACCGACCACTTTCGGGCACGAAGGTATCGGCTACACGGCAGACATTGTCAGCGCTGGGTCATGGTTGTATTACACGGTGGGAGATTTTGCTTATGCGCAACACACATTAGAGTAGGGTCATCGTGGGAGGCAGGCGGGCCCGGCGTGTAGAGCTTCTTCTCTTCGATCAGAACTTTGAAGTCCTTCAGGGCCTGCTCTTCGCTGGCGGTCAGATGGCCAAGATGGCCCTGGGGATAGCCGTGCTCGACCCCCGCCCCCGATGGAACCCTGTGGATTGAACTGGTCGACTTCCTCGTCATGGCTGGCGTTTGTTACTCAGACAGTAGGTACAGGTAAGAGACAGAAATGCAGCAAGAAAGAGTGAAGGTTTGAAGGGCTACAAAGTAACTGTACTGTTCTACGTTTAACGAATGGTAGCTGTATGTAAGGGCACAGATTCTGACTGGTCTGTTGATTGGCGTTGACGCGCTGATTATGGAAGATCCTGGGTCAGGTAATAATAGATTGCCCTAAACGATGTAAGATCACTAAGCAAGAGAAGAAAAAATTGGGGGGGACGGCCCCTGTAGCTGAATCGTGGTGGTACTGTAAACCGCTAGGTCGGGTAACGGGATCTTTTCGCCACGCGAATCTGGGTCATGATGCTGCTGGCGGAGACTGACTCGGGGTTTAATAGCGCGCCGGATGCCGGTTTTCCCATTGTACACAGTAGAGAAACCGACCCTAATTTCCACGAGTACGTAGGACTAGGAACCATAGAAAGTGCGATGAGCAAAGGAATGGATCGAATATGGTAACAATTTACCAGTGTCTATTGGGACTATCGATTTTAGAAATGCCATCTGACAAGACGTGGAACTAGGCACTAATACGCACCCCTGTACGTCACAATTGATACGTTGATGTTGGGGTAAAAGGCAACCTTATTCGACTTTTAGGAACCCCAACCCAGAGAGCAAGGATGAGTAGTCCAGGCGATGTGATAGGGATCTGGGTATTTGCTACGGTAGATCCCGATGAATGCGATCGTGTATTTTGACGTGGAATGAACCTATCTATATCGTGACTGATTCCGGTGAATAATGGTGTTGACCCTTTTTCTTGTCTGCTATACTTGACCATTAGAGACGGGCATTTTCAACCTATGATGACCATCGGCTAGAATTCTTGCTCGAGATGGTATAGGATCGATCCCTTCTCTAGAAAAAGCATTGGGGGTTTCTTTTCTCATACATGTTAAGAACCGGTTATCCTCTATCACTTACGCATGATCAAATATGTTTGGTTGACGGAATCCAGCAAACATGAATATGCCTAGTTCCTGACATTGGTTTTATTCACACAAAGACCGCATCAGCTTGGAGCAGAAATCCTGACTCAAGGTCAGGGTTGAGCGCTTTCATAACAGATGATATTTCTTGAACTGGATTGCATTTACTGTTTATCCAACGCTCGCCGAAGAACATTTTCCAGCTCTCTTATATCCTGCCCCGTCGATCGCTGGCCACCCATGCAATAGAGGACATTGCCCAATACCCTACTATGAATATTCCAAGGAGCCTCATCACGGTCGCTCGCATTGGTACGCAGCGCATCCCTGAGGCTCGCTGCTACATTGCTCGTGTAGCCGGAGCCATCAGGCGCATGGAGGTGGATGGCAAGCACGCTCCCCAGTGCCCAGGCGCCCGCCACCGCGGGATGGCGAGAGAGCCAGTCAATGAAGCCGCTGCTCCAGATTGACCAGACTCTGCAGTCGTCTGCCACGACGTCCTTGGCGGTGGATGTTGACCAGCCGCCCGACTTTGCCCAGTCCCAGTCGCCGTTGCGCTCCATGGCCTGCATTTGGCGAAGAGACTCGGTGGCAACGTTGCAGCCCACCGGGTGTGCCGTGTAGCTGTGCCCATGGAGCAAGGCATCCGTCTTGTCGTCCGATTCAAAGGCACGGAGGATGCTTTCAGATGCAAGGGTGGTGCAGAGCGGCACAAGACCTCCAGTCAAAAGCTTGGCATGCACCGAAATGTCGGCATCAATGTTGAGGAATGATGATGCAGAGAATCTACCCAGGCGGTAGAGACCCGTGAAAACCTCATCAAAAATGATTGGTAGACCAGTCCAGCCGAGTTTGTCTGAAGAGGAGACATCGTCTCTGGCAACGCCGAATAAATCTGCAGAACGCCTTACGACGTTGACCAGAGCTCTTTGGAAAAGAGGATCACTAGAACATGTCAGTAAGAACTTTATATAAGCAAGGAAGACTAATGCTTCGTCACTTACGCCAAAATCATTCCGCCGGCACCCAAGACGACAGGCTCAAGCAAGACAGCGCCAAATTTCCTACCCTTTGCAAGATGAGATTGCAGAGTCTCTTCTATGTATTTCTCATACGCCTCATGGGACCCTTGCTTCTCTCTCTGCTCAATATCAAACACGTCGCTCAGAGTGTCAAAGTCGAAGCCGTCGTTCTTCATATGGCCTCGTAATTCTTCCGGGATTTCGATAACCCATTTCCCATTGACGCACTTGATGCTAGGCGTATCAAACCACATACCCTTGCCCTCGTACCACTCGACCTTTTCGTTAAAGGCACTCGGCTCCGCGCAGTCCATGGCGCCAATCGTGTCGCCGTGGTACCCGCCCTTGAGGCCAATGATGCCGAGCTTGTCGCCGGCGGGCCAGCCGTACCGGACCCGCGCGGCGCGCAGGCCCATCTTGACCGCGACCTCGACGCCGGTGCTGCCGTCGTCCGAGTAAAAGACGCGCGTCAGCCGCGGGTTGGCCATGCCGCCCAGCAGCGTCTCGGCGAGCGCCAGCGCCGGCTCGTGCACCGCCTCGGCAAACATGACGTGTCCGTACCGGCCCGCGGCGTACGCGGCCGCCAGCGTCAGCGAGGTGCTTCCGTGGCCGAGCCCTTGCGTCCACCACGAGGCCGAGCCGTCGAAGGACGGCTGCAGCAGCGGCGTGCTGCTCTTGCTATCATCACGCGAACCTTGTGGTACCAGTGTTTGAAAGAAGTCTGCATTGGCACTGTCAATGGCAGTGATGGAGGCTGGGGTCACAAGTTTCTGCTGTGTGAATGGATACCAAATCTTCTCGTGTGCTGTGGTGGCCATAGACTCGAGACGAGTGATCCGGCCCTTGTGCTTGCTATCCAAGTGTTTGAGTATGTCATGCATGACCGGCAGTCGACTTGCTTCTTTATAATACTCCTTCATGGCTTGAGCATCGGTCTCTGCCGAGACAGCATCTCGTGCAGGCGGTGGTGAAACCGTGTACACTGGAATATTGTAGTGTTCCTTGAAATATTCTGTGAGGTATTCCCAATTGTTGTACTGGTCTTCGCGAAACAACAGAATAGCCTCAACGTCATAGCCACGAATTTTCAGAGACTCAAAAGCAGAGATGGTTAGAGAGATACCGCCCAGCTTGGGGTCTCCAATCAAGACAACGGGGCAGCGGAGCGGCTTGTAGAGCTCGGCCTGCGAAGCGCCAGAAGGTCCAGGGGAATGCACACCACCGGCAGTCTCGATGAACAACCATCCCGGACTGTTGGCTGCTGTCTTTGCCGCATGGGCGTAGATGGACTCTAGGAGGCCCTTGTCCGACGGAACAAGCTGAAGCTATCAGCAGGAAGTAGACCAGCGTAGGGACTCGATATTTCGCTTACCTTGCCCCTTGCTGCAGCATGCGGGCTTATGGCAAGATCATACTGGTGGAGTGTGGCGTGGGAAACTCCTTGGGCATACTTCTGAATGTGGCTGGCCTCGAATTAGGACTTGCTGTGCGCCAATGTCTGTCTGGTCTTCCATGCTGTATGACTCACTGTGAATCTGCCTCGTCCAAAGGACCGGTGGAGACTGGTTTGAGATATGCCGTCACCTCATCTTGATACCGGTTCCTCGCCGCCTTGCAGAGCGTCGTGGTAAGCACAGTCTTTCCGACCTCAGTGTTGGCGCCGTACACCTGCCACACGCGGAGGGACCTCCAGAGCATTGACCCAACTGGCGCCATTGGTGAACTCGAGCCTTCAACCACCAAAGATTGAAAAGAGCGTCAGTCAGGTCACCAGCGGGATAGAGCCGAGAATAACGGCTGGCCGCGGCTCCCGAAAACCCTTGCCCAACAAATGTGAACGTGGCTCTTGCTAGTCAAGATATCCAAGGCTCGGCACTCGGTGATTTGAGTTGATGATTATGCAGGTCCTGCAGGCACAAGCCCTAGCCAAGGGGGATTTCTGGCAAGTGAGAGTCACATGCAGATATAGTCAGTCTTGTCTGATCAACACAGAAAATCACAGCAAGTGAACATGTGTGGAGATGTTTGGCACGATCGTCACCGAATAGAAGAATAGCAATTGAGTGAATTTCTTCGGGGTACAAAAGTGATGACAGATTCCAGACCCAGTCTGGCAATTGTTATAGCGGCTCTAATTGGGAATAGCGGTTCGACTATACACGCAGGGCCCAGGCATGCGCGCGGCGCACTAAACAAACACCGAATATTCTCACTGCTGGGGCTGATATACAACGAGAAGGGGTGGGAAAAAAGGAAACAAGTGCGGTACATTAACAGGGAAGGATCCTGTAATTGCGGGGTAATAAATCACGCACCTGGGGTTTTTTCACTTGAGGTTTGTGACAATCCTCCTATTCCGCACACTGAAAGCCAGTGCCTAATGTAGTGTTGCTGCACAAAACGTCTAAAAGAAATTCATGGTATAGCAAATCATAAACCCCACTGAGCTCAACAAAATAATGGCTGGATCCTCGGCGCACCGCGCAGCCCGAGCAGCTGTGTCCTGAAATACTTCTTTTGTGTCATGTGATACAGTCTCTTCTAGTTGCGAGAGCATTCAGCAGTCTGAATTGTGTTTTTGGAAAATCAGAAGAAGAAGAAAAAAAGAGCAATGGCACGGTTGGACGAAATCCTAGGCGATACTCTAGAACGACGAAAGAAAGCGGGCAGACTACGACAGTTGACTGTGAGGTCTCCTGAGAAGATAGACTTTTCCTCCAACGACTATCTTTCCCTGGCCGCGGACACCGAACTCCAGAGGAAGATTCTAGCCAGACTCGAGGAGAGGATTTGTGCAACCGAACGAGGTGAAGTAGCAAGGGGCATATTGGGATCGGGTGGCTCTCGACTTCTCGATGGCAACTCTGAATTCGCCGAGCAATTAGAGGAGAAGATAGCCGGGTTCCACGGCGCACCGGCCGCACTTCTTTTCAACTCGGCCTACGATGCAAACGTGGGTTTGCTACAATGTGTCCCGCAGCCTGGGGATGTTATTCTCTACGATGAAGCCATCCATGCCAGCTCGCACGAAGGGATGCGTCTCAGTCGGGCCTCGGCAAAGATCCCCTTTGCGCATGATTCCATGACGACGGCCGACAGCGACAGCCCCAATACTGGCAGCCATGAAGGACTTGAGCAGGTTCTGCAAAACCTCACAAAAGGCCATCAAGGCAGAGCCGTGCGTGAGGGTTCTAGAAATGTCTTCATCTGTGTAGAGGGCATTTACAGCATGGATGGCAGCGTAGCCCACCTGGCGAGGGTTGTCGACTTGGTGGAGAAATGGCTGCCTCGACAAAACGGCTACATCATTGTCGACGAAGCGCATTCGGTAGGGGTTCTCGGCCCCCAAGGCCGCGGTCTGGTCAGTGCGCTTGGGCTCGAAACAAAGATCTGGGCGATCGTCCAGGGATTCGGTAAGGCGCTGGGTTCCGCTGGAGGTAAGAATATTCCCTCCCTTGATGACTCCCCTCCCCTCCCCTCCCCCCTCATCGCTATATGTATAGTACCTAGTCTCTAATATAACGCGACGCTAGGTGTAGTATTATGCTCGCACACAACTCGGGCCTATCTCGTAAACTATGCCCGAACACTGATCTACACAACCTCGCCGGCCTACTCATCTCTAGTGAGTCTGGACACCATCTATGACTACCTCTTGGCCGGCAACGGAGACTGTCGTCATGACCAGCTGCAGCAGTTGATTGCACATACGTGGCACCTGCTGCAAGCCATGTGCTCTCGTCTCGCAGCAGCAGCAGCCTCAACAACCGATGCCGCACTCGTCCGCGTTGATCGTTTGCAGGCCAAGTCGCCCATTATACCGATTTACACCTCCTCCCCGAGGAGTCTCGCAGCTTGGTGTCAGCAGCGAGGCTTCATGGTCCGGCCAATCGTAGCCCCAACGGTACCTGCTGGCACCGAGAGGGTCCGCATTTGCTTGCACGCTATGAATTCGATCGGCCAGGTGGATGCGCTCATCACAACAATTGAGCACTGGGCCCGAGAACAAAAATGTCTCTCAACGGCTCAGCATATGACGTCGCCGGGAACAGTGACGGGACACAGTGTGCTGCTCAAATCTAATCTGTAGGCAAGAGGCTTGGTTCTGTTTTGCCAATCATGAGAATTGCCTTTGATATACATTGCCAAGACCCCCACAAGTGGATGACCTTCCATGATTGTGAAGAGCTGTGGATAGTGGGCTCAATTGCAAGATAAGCGTTTAAACGAGTAAATAGAAAATAGGACAGTGACTTTGTGCTTTCTACTAGTGCATTGCCCTAGATATAATGTCAGCCTATTAAAGACTTTTTTTGTAAATTTTAGCGGTGATTTTCTAGCATTTGTGAACTTGAGTAGTCAGCAGCTATACCTCTAGCGAGCTGAGTACTCGACGGCGGAATCGTAGGGCGGAAAATAGGTGTGGAGGCCCTACCTGGGGGTGGAATTCTGTACATATTGCATAGTCGACGATCCCTCGGCCTGTTGAGCCCTGCTGTGATTCGCTATACACTGGGGTGAGCTGCATTGCCGAGACCCATTACCAAATGCTTGGCTGTAATTGGGCGTCTAGGTCCAGCCCAGGGCAGAGCCACAGAGGTGTCCCGATATACTGCGACTGACCAGTTTCATGACAGCCACCTGGCCGAGAGCTCATGCGGGGCAGAAGCTGGCTGAAAGTGATTCGAATTCCCGCTCGTTTCCTGTTCCTGGTCCCTGAGACCTGAGAGAGAACAGCCAGTCATTCCGTGGTTCATGCTAGCACTCGCCGGGCATTTGGTATACTCTTCTCTGTGACGACATTACTCTTATACTCTTTGTTATATAGGTATACTCTCTCTCTCTCCAATATGGCTCCCCTTCGCCCTAGTGCCCCGCGGTTGGCAGCACGTATAGCACCGGCAGTGCTGAAGCCAACAACACAAACCACCGTCAGCGCTCGCGCCTATGCTGCCGTCGGCGCTGAGCAGCCCCCATGGACGAGATCGACATTCCCTACTGCTGCCCCGGCTCCTGCAAGCAGCTCCGGACTGAAGGGTAACAAGGTTCTGCGCGACGCGGTGGCAGCAACAGCCCCGCGCAACACCTGGACCAGGGAAGAGATCTCAGCAATCTATAATGAACCTCTCACGGAGCTGGTACACCAAGCTGTAAGTCACATTCCAAACCCACCATGTCCTCCTGTCTTGATAATACCATGGCTTGTATAATGACTTTCTACAATAGAGCGTCTTTCATCGCCGCTTCCACGATCCTTCAGAGGTTCAATTATGTACCTTGATGAACATCAAGACGGGTGGCTGTACCGAGGATTGCAAATACTGTGCGCAATCCACCCGGTACCAAAAGGGCACGGGTCTGCAGGCAAAAAAGGTCGAGACCGTCGAGTCGGTTCTGGCCGCCGCTCGCGTGGCCAAGGAGAATGGCAGCACCCGCTTCTGCATGGGCGCCGCGTGGAGGGACATGCGCGGAAGAAAGAACAGTCTCAAGAACGTCATTGCCATGATCCAGGGCGTCCGGGGCATGGGCATGGAGGCCTGCGTGACGCTAGGCATGATTGACCAGCAGCAGGCCCACGAGCTCAAGGCTGCCGGTCTGACGGCCTACAACCACAACGTCGACACCAGCCGCGAGTTTTACCCCTCGGTCATCTCGACGCGCACATACGACGAGAGGCTACGCACCCTGGGCTTCGTGCGCGGAGCTGGCATCAATGTCTGTTCCGGCGGCATTCTGGGTCTCGGAGAGACCAACACTGACCGGGTCGGATTGCTGCACACGGTTTCGACGTTGCCGTCTCACCCAGAGAGTTTCCCCGTCAACGCTCTGGTCCCAATCAAGGGCACACCCCTCGGCGAGCAGGAATCGGTCAAGTTCCCCGATATGCTCCGAACCATTGCCACGGCGCGAATCCTGATGCCAACGACCATTATCCGCATTGCTGCAGGCCGAAAGACCATGTCAGAGGAGAAGCAGGCCATGTGCTTCATGGCTGGTGCCAATGCCATATTCACGGGAGAGAAGATGTTGACGACCGAGTGCAACGGCTACGATGAGGACAAGCAAATGTTTGACACGTGGGGCTTTGTCCCTATGAAGAGCCACCAAAAGTCGCCGCCGAAATCGGCGGCTTGAGATGGAGGTTCAAAGGCCACCCAGAATTCGTAGAATAAATCGTCTGGAAGTCCTAGTTTCCAACTCTGTCCAAATACCTACCTAGTACTTTTGAAGCAATATTCTTTGTTAAAGTAGACAATTAGTGGCTGTATGAGTGATTTTGGCTTTAAGCGTACCATCCATCGCTCGCTCCCATGGGAACTGCAATGTCAATGAGTATAGCACAAGGAGTGGCAACTTTCCACGCTATGAGATAAGACATGCGTCCTTTTTTAAGCATACCCAGCACTTCCAAGCGACCTTCAGGGGCTTATGCTCGGATAAAAGCTTGCTAATAAATTTGGGATCTAAATGGGTATAGAGTGCGTCAGTAGGTAAAGAGGAGCTCTTGGAAGTGATTGTTGGGCTAGATGCCAGTTAGAGAACACAAACGTAGCAATAGAATAACTAAAGCTGATGTCAGCCATCACAAAGAAATACTCCGGCGAGAGGATATCTTGTAGCGGCTTGTCATGATCGTGTTTGTCGTTGAAGTACCATCCGGGCGGGACTGCGGCGCCTGTCTGACCAACACGGACGGTTTCAGGGCGCGATGGAGTCGCGCGGATAGTTAACGTTGGAAGGGACGACAGTTAATATATTGTAGGCGCCGGCGTACGGCAGTGGCCTTCCATAACCAAATCTAGGGGCTTTTTTCTATCAATTACAGTTACTTTCGACGGCGTCCTAATATCTTCAGCTACGTCCAATGTATGACTCGAGTCTTCTCTCATCTTCCCTTTTCTCTTTAAAATGCCCCTTCTAAGCCACAGACGACAATACTCATAGACGGTTCAAAAACGCCACTCACTTGTAAGCACTGTATTTATTGATAGTAGCACCAAACAGACCGCCCCAACTCAAATTCTCGAACTCAAAACAAAAATTCCTTCAAATAGTCCAATAGCCATCTGCACCAACATAATTACTCTTTGGCTTTGCCGACCCTTGCATGCGCCGGCGTTTCTTAAAAGCCAGCACTGGTGATATCTTGATGACAACGACATATTTTAGGATGGCAGGTCAGATCCCGGTCCTAGGTTTGATAGGATGCCAAATTTGGCCATGAAAGAGTTCAGGCAAAAGCTCAGCATCTTCTTGTCTGGCCAACCCTCGCAATTATCCTTGTCCAGTCTGGCAGAGTCTTACCTCTCTCCACACGAATATAGCAATTATAGCCACCAGCAACAGTGCATACTACTAACCGGCACACCTTTCCCGAAATCATAGCACATTCTTTGCAACTTGAGTAGATCTTCACCACACAATAAGGTTCAGTAGGATTCATTCTCGCCTCCAAAGTACCAGTGCTCATGTAAGATATGCACTCATAAACACATGTTCTTGCCGGAGCACTACAGTATCAACTTCTCCATAGTGAAATGCCTCTTAGGGAGAATGACTGACTGGAGTCGGAGACAACAGCGTGAATACGCTATTACGAGATCCAGCCTCTCAACCTGAGACTGCATTCTCTTGAATACCTAGGTCCCACCAGCCAGCAGTGCATGCGTACTAGATTCCACCGATACGAAGTCGGCCGTCATTATACGGGTCACTTGGTCCCGCATTTTTAGCAGCCCCCGGCATGGCAAAACGTGCAGACGGGCTCGGTTCCGAGCACATTCTTGACTGACGCCGACGAAAACATGTGTCTCGAGCTTCCATGGTAAAGATCAACCCGCTTGAGCCAATGACTTGGGGGGAAAGCACAGAGCCCCGGACGTTGCAAGGTTTCGTGGGTCAGGTCTGGCGGCGGTAGCCCAAGGCCCGGACTTGGGGTATAGAGCTGAAACCGGACAACACGTGGTGGAGAGCTGGGTCAAGGGGAGGCTTGGGAGCAAACCCGTCCAAACTCTACAATCCATACGCACGCCAGCCATTAACACAGCCTTCAACACTACAGCCGAGACAGTAGATCTCGCCTCTACTTGGCGCGAGATGTTCGGTCCTATCAGCTTACGATATTGCACACTGCATCGGCGTCCGGCCTCTCTCCAATCTTGTCCGTCGGGTCCAAGATTAGAAAGTACTCGGGAATTTGACGAAGTGTCTCTATCGAACGTATAAGAGGAACCTGAAAGTGCACCTCAAAAGCTAATCATTTTCGAAAGCATCTACATCAACTCGAACAATTATATACTCGACAATCACCCGAGAAAATCGCCGGTGATCAATATCTTTGTAAATTTTCCGTCGTACTTGTATATTTCCTCTATTTATTTATTTTTTCTATTTTTCCAAATACCCAACCGACCCAATACCATCAAAATGCCTGGTGTCACTTCCGAGCGTACTGCTAGCAGATTCGATGCTATTCCCGGTCCTCTGGGTCTCGCTTCTGCCTCCCTCGAGGGCAAGGTTGCGCTAGTCACCGGTGCTGGTAAGTTTGTTTTCTAGAAACTCATCATAGATTTCCCTCATGCCCCACGATTTCCCACAAGCCTCTGCTGGTCCCGCTCATGTGGGATCCCGGACGAGTTTTACCCCATCGGAGCTCCGTTGCCTAGGCTTAGGCCCGGCCCGGGATATCTTGGCGCAGCTATACTATAGCGAAAGAATTGTGGGGAAATTGGAATGGATACTTTGAATACTTTTGCACAAGCACCAACAAGCATGTGAAGATGAAGTAATAGAGAAACGTTGCTAACGCAGTACTCTGCCAGGTCGCGGTATCGGCAGGGAAATGGCCATGGAGCTGGGACGTCGCGGCGCCAAGGTCATTGTCAACTACGCCAACAGCTCCGAGTCGGCCCAGGAGGTCGTCAACGCCATCAAGAAGTCGGGCTCCGACGCCGTGGCCATCAAGGCCAACGTGTCGGACGTGGACCAAATCGTCAGCCTCTTTGACCAGGCCGTCAAGGTCTGGGGCAAGCTGCACATTGTCTGCTCCAACTCGGGCGTCGTCTCCTTTGGCCACGTCAAGGACGTTACCCCCGAGGAGTTTGACCGCGTCTTCACCATCAACACCCGCGGCCAGTTCTTCGTCGCCCGCGAGGCCTACAAGCACCTCGAGGTCGGCGGCCGCCTCATCCTCATGGGCTCCATCACTGGCCAGGCCAAGGGTGTCCCCAAGCACGCCGTCTACAGTGGTAGCAAGGGTGCCATTGAGACTTTTGTGCGATGCATGGCTGTCGGTAAGTCTACTCTGCCAAGATCTATGTTGAAAGAATAGTCACTAACATGAACATTGTAGACTTTGGTGACAAGAAGATCACTGTCAACGCTGTTGCCCCCGGTGGTATCAAGACCGACATGTACCACGCCGTATGCAGAGAATACATTCCAGGTGGCACCGAGCTCGACGACGAGGCTGTCGATGAGTATGCTTCCACATGGTCGCCTCTCGGCAGAGTCGGTCTTCCCATTGACATTGCCCGCTGCGTCTGCTTCTTGGCTTCGCAGGACGGCGAGTGGGTCAATGGCAAGGTCCTTGGCATTGACGGCCACGCCATGATGTAAAAAAATGAGGATTGAAGGATCTTTTTAGGCGGGTTGTCAGCGTAATAACTTTGGTTCTGTTCACACTATATAATCCAAGGCAATCGTTCTCATATACGAGCGTTTAGATCTGGATGGGCGCATTGAAATTGAAGCAACAAATACTTTTCAACAAATAGAATATCAGTTATATTTCATGATCCACACCTGAAATGTCACGGGCGCCTGCGATTAGTGGTGATTAGTGATGGCAGAATTTCATAAAACCTGAGAGTCTTTATCAATTTCTTTTGTTTAGTTAGATATGTCTCTGACAACGGGGTGAGCTAATGTCTCGTCAAAATCCCACGGCGCTGTACGCTGCCCACGTATCGAAATTGTCTATTCAGAGGCCGCTCGACGAGTGCAAATGGTATGGAACACCACACCAACGCTATTTTGCAACGGTCATCCTACCTACAGAGCTCGAGGATTTCATGAAAATGAGATCCTCCAGTCCAACGGTATTTGACAACCACAGGGGGAAAAACAAAAATCAAGCAGATCGAGTAGGTCAAGCAGATCAAGCGCAACGTTGAAATAAAGAGCCCTGATTCTCAATACGAATCCTTAAGATACGGGACGCGCAATGATTCAAAGGGAAAGTAAAGCGTTGGAGAGAGAAAGGGCAAATGGACCGCTCACGACGGAAATGGAGACGATGAGATTACAGGAAGAGACAAGGAAAGCCATTTTAGATAAATTGCAAGGTATAGCCACGACAGAGATTTTACCTTAATCAGGTCACCCGCATCAGTGCCTGCAACACCACTACAGGCGATTCGGCCCTTGCAGCAAGGTGCCAAGACAACTTGGTGGTCAAGGGATTCATGAAAGTCTCTTCAGTCTTAAGCAATAAATCTTATGCACTATTCAAGATATCTCAACTGATGCACGCGACAACCAAATATTACCCCAATCGTCCAGTCTAAACGAAATTTGCACACCGGAACAGTCTTCCTGGTCTAGGTGGTTCACGAGTCCTGAAAGTCCAATCCGTCCCCGTCGTGGTCTGCATGCTTTTCATTCTTCTGGCGTTTATAACGACCGAGTATCCCGTCATCACCATCCTTGTCCTTCTTCCTTGAGAAGTCGAGACCTGATATACCTGCAACCACAGCAGCGATACCAGGTCCAATCATAGGCGGCACCGCAGCGCCTGCCCCGGCAATTCCTATGCCCACAAGGATCTCAAGTAGGGGAACCAGATTTTTCTGCAAAACCTGTCGCTTTTTGAGCCTTTCTTGAGACCTCGACGGCGTGACCGTTTGCTTGACACTGGCTCTTCCAGTATTGAAGCTGCTGCTACTACCATATTTCCTTGAAACCCTGGTTCCGTATTCATCGTCAGCAATGTTGATCAGTGTCTCTTGGCTGTTGCTGAAGAGTCTGTTGGATATCCTGTTCTTTGCGCTGCCTTCTTGCACTTTCGGTGTTGTTTTTTGTCCAAGCATGGCAGTATCATTTCCTTCCTTGGTGAGCGTCGACCGCTTGCCATCATCTGTTTGAATATCCTTCAATGCTTCTGCATATGCCGGTGTCTCCTGCTTTGCTAGTTCCCTGAAGTCGGCCAAAAGCTTCTTTTGTGATTGCAACAGTGCCTCGACTGTCTCCAGTGCCTTGGAAAGGGCTTGACGCGAATTTTCATGATCTTCAACATCATATTTCCCCCTCTGGAGCTCTACCTCCAGCTCGCGCTCCTCTTTATGCTGGCTTGCGAGGGCATTCCTAATGGCTTGGTTTATAGCCACGCCTACGTCGGTTTTCGACAAGATTCGCCCTTCATCGACGAGCTGTTGTTGTAAACTGAGAACAATTGGTCCTTCTCGCCAGTATGTATTGATAACATGGTCGATAATGGACATGCTGGAGCCGTTCTGCATCGATTTCCAGCGCATGACGTTTGCTCCCTTGTCACATAGGGCTCCCCACGCCACCTTGCTGTTCGATAAAGCTTTTTCGCGCTTAACCGCATCGCGCAGTATGTTTGGATCTCTCTCGGAAATGTTCCACATTGTTGTGATAAAGATAATGCGGGAATATGCTTGTTCACCGCACAACCTCTTCAGAATCTCCAAGCTGCGAGTTGCCCTACCGCCGAGTCGGATTGTGGTGATAGGGTGCGTATAGATGACCCCAGCAACGAAGAGTCGCTGGCTGTAAGTTTGTGCGAGGACAAAGGCGAGACTCTGTCAAATTCTTCAGTGACCACAATCACCTGATAAAACGCCGATCTCTAACATCTCAGCCCACCTACCTGGAGAATTTCACCGTCTGACTTGTATGTATCATCAAAGCCCGGTGTATCCACCAAGAATACCCTGCAGCCACTATGATGCTGGAGCGGAAAGAAGCTGACTTTGCTTGTGCAGGACAGCAGGTCATGTCCAATCTCTACGTTGTCATCGGCGACAAGAGACTGAATGAAAGAGCTTTTCCCTGAACCACTGAGGCCTGTAACCATGATGAGCACATCTTGAGGCGTATTGTCGTTCATGGTAAGAGAGATTGTTTTGAAACTTTAGGTAGTTCGTTCCCTCACTCTCCAGGAGACGAAAAAATAAGATAAGGCTGTATTGCGGGCGGAGTGTATGATTTGGGAAATGATATTTGACTCCCAACCCCCAACTTCCCCTCTTTGTGCAACGCCCGACTTTGCAACGAACTTGGGTGATTATCCGAGCCTTGTCATAGGAAACCCCGCAACTCTTCTCTGGTCTGATGAAGCCTTCCGTCCATTTCCACCTCAGCTTAGCACCATAAGCTCCCTCGCCGTGTTTTGTCCATACACAACATGGATCTATCTGGGGAGGGAACCGAGGCGGATATGACCATCGCGGTCATGGGGATGACAGGCGTGGGGAAAAGCACATTCATCCGGCATTGCCTCGATGCATCGTCTGCAGCGCAGCCCATCATCGGGCACGACATTGAGTCTTGTACCCAAGACGTTGAGGTATACCAGTGCCAATATGGGATGGATCGGCAATACACAGTCGACCTTGTCGATACACCTGGTTTTGACGATACGCATCGGTCTGACAGAGAGGTCCTCGAGGCCATTAGCCTGTGGCTTACAACAAGCGGGAGGTACCAAAGCAATCGCAAACTTCATGGCATCATCTATCTACACCGCATTAGCGACGTACGAATGCAGGGTTCCGCGCTCAACAACTTGAGGATGTTCAAAAAGCTATGTGGCCCTGAGGCTTTCCATCGCATCCTTCTGACAACTACCATGTGGGAGCAGGTATGACCCCTTTCATCAACCGGTGGCTGACCAACACTCAAGGAGAAGTCAGGTCCTACCAGAAGATGGTTCACGGCGCCTAAGCCAACTTGAGACTGCGGACGACTTCTGGGCGCCCATGATACGCAAAGGCAGCCGGGTCGTCCAACATCTGAATACGCCAGACTCGGCCAAGAAGCTTATAGGGCTCTTCCTCGATAAGCCCAACGCTGCAGGGCAGTCGCAGCTCCCCACGAGTATCATACTTGACATCCAAACGGAGCTATTGAAGAAAGATGCGACTCTAATGCAGACTGGCGCCGGCCGTGAGCTCGACGGCAATCTCGCTGCGGCCCAGATCAAAGTGGAGACTGAGGTTGAGACTATCAAGGCCGATATCCGCGATGCCGAAGCCGAGTGCGACGACGACGACGCCGAGTACTTGCGTAAGCAGATTCCGACACTTATGCGCAAGATCGAGGAGCTGCAGGCTGACCGCGAGGGCCTGCACGTCAGCTTCAAAGAAGTAATGGAGTTGGAACGGCGGCGACAAGACAAGGCTTCCGAGATGCAGAAGAATCTCCAAGAAGAACGTAGTAGGACTGCCGAGCTGCGCCGCAATACAGAGGACCTACGTCTCAAGCACGAGGGCGAGATGGCACGTCTACGTAAACAGCTGCAAGGGACACAGATCGACAGGACCCAAACAACAGAAGTGGCATCCCCGAACCTCGCAACATGGACGCGGCAAATAAAGTTGCAAAACTTACATACAACGTCATTCAAGGTCTTTGGAGATGCATTTTTCTTCCAAGCAAGCAATAGCTGCATATGGTCAGTATCTCTGGGGTTCTGATTTTGTACGCTACTCAAGAACGGAAAAAGAACTGATCAAATCGGCTACAAGGTCATATCCATTTCGCACAATAGGAGAGAAAACCCGCCGATTAACATCTGCGTCAAACTCCGCAGTTCTTGGATTCGGGCCAGGCTTCCTTTATGATGGTGACCAGTTTCTACTAGAGAGTTCTGACAAGACACCCCACATCTTCAGTGAGTCAACTTGACCTCCCTCCCCACCTGCCCCTTATCTCTATATATCTTCCTGGTGCTCTGTAGCTTCCCTTGCTGCAGACACACGTCCATTACGCACGCGGCTGCTTGAGATCTTCCCATCGCTTATTTGTAAATGTTTTGTCTTCAGATCTTCATGTTCGGTCAGATTATGAACGATGGAGTGACCCAACGGATCTTGGGATTGAGTTCTTGAGACAAAAATACCCAGATATTGCAAATTACCCAAAATTTAATCCCTCTTTCATATCTTTCGGCGAAGACGGTCTTTTCTTTGCTTCTGGAATGGGACGATTAGCTGCAAACACATGTCATAAACTCCCGGAAACATTCTATAATCGCCACAATACAGAAAAGTGGCAGACGAACACGAACACGTACGACCCAAATGCAGTCCATCCAAGAGTCTGGCTTGGAGCCAAAAGCAGTTGGATTTGCCAAATTTCGAGAGGATCACGATGGAGTAACACTGAATTTGACACCTCTTATGACCTGTGCGGCTGTTATCCGGGCCTTCAGAAATTGCTTGACGAGAAAGTCACAATATCTAGAGCACACTACATGGATCGTTCGAATCAAAGGGACACGTCTTATTTTTATATTTATGTCAGTCTATTTCTGAAATCTCCGCTCGTTCAATGCTAATTGTACCTCATAGGACGTCGCACTGAACATAACCGATCAATCTAGCTGGTTCATCGTATTTGATGATGGCAATACTGGGAAAACCATTTGTCATAGCAATGCGGGACGAAGGGGCCAACCAGCACAAGGTACCCCATATGCGGAATTCGAGGCTTTCTTTTCCAAGATACAAAAGTCTTTGGGTGTTTCGGACCAGAAGCCTTGGGAGTCTGTACAGTATTGACAAGGATCGATTCCTAAGCAGCCTCGAAACGCTTGGTACGGCTCTGCACGACTTTTTCAGTGGCAGCAGTAGTTGCGAACCTCTGCCCGAAGTCTGGAGCGTCATCAATTGGTGGCTTCTACCCCCACACGACGAGCATATATTCTAACCCACCCCCTTAGTTCTTTGGGACGAGTGTTTAACTCACTTAAAGTATCTCGAGGGCCGTCTGCGCGCGAACGCACACGTTTCGGATGCGGAAATCAAGATGTGCCTGCTCGAGGATGAGAGTATAAGAATGCAGCAGGAGTGATGCGCCACAGTGTGACTGGGTTGTGTGGCACCCTGCGGGTGACACAATGGGAAGGATTGTTTAAGTCTGTTTGCACACATTATTTTCGTAGATGTAGACCATCTTTAATTTTACTCCTTATTTTCAGACACTGGTCGTGTCAAGGAGCAATCGAGGCAGCAGCTAAAGCAATATAATTAGTGGTCCCAGACACAATAATAGAAGTACGCATAAGAAGAGAGAGTAGGTACATAGTCGTCAATACCATTTAGTATATCGTACATTTGACTCGGCACATGGGCTCAAAAGCATGAGTGCTAACGACAGCATTCACGCCAAATGATGATAAAGTCATTTCTGATTTTCCGGCATAAGCAAGATATTTAGCAGTTCCAACGGGAATTGATGCGTCAAGACTAGGTATTCCCGTCTACAGTATGGGCAATTGCCGGGCTGAGGGGCAATATTGACTTTGCGCGTGGGGCGGCGATTGGCTCATGAGTTCCCCCCCGAAGAAAGGATTACTACAGTGGACAAAGCAACAACAAAATATTCAAGGCTGCTTCCATTTAACATCACATCTCTTTCTCTCGGCGTGGGACAACCAAAGCGGCAATCGGCAGTGATGGTGGTCGAGGCCAACTTGCAAAGCAGCAATGGCGGCGAGGACGGAGGAGGAGGAGGCGGAAGCGGAAGCGGCGGCGGCGGCAACAGCAGTGGTAGTCTCGACGACGACAACAACAACAATAAACCCGCCGGCTCCGGCAAGATCGGCTTCCGGGAACGCATCGAGCACTTCACCTGGGCCAACTTTACCGGTACCCAGTCGACGGGCGGCATCGCCATCTTGCTGTCTGAGACGCCGCACCAGTTTCACGGACTGCAGACGGCGGGCGCCGTCGTCTTCATTTTGAATCTGGTGCTCTTTGCCGTATTTTGCGCCGCCATGCTGACGCGCTTCTATTTGCATCCCTATACCATTAAAAAGTCCATGACCACGGTTCCCGAGTGCTTGTTTGTTGGGCCCTTTTTCCTCTCGTGCGCGACCATAATAATATGCAGTAAGCTATGCTCGTGCGATTACTCTTTTTGGTCACTGCATTGGAAAGCAAATAGTTGACCCAAACCATCTACAAACACAAGAAATGGAAATACTGACCCGAGACCTGTTTCCCAGTATCGAGGTTTGGTGTTCCACACACGGGACCTTGGATCATTGTCGTCGTGCGCGTATTGTTCTGGATCTACGCAGCCTGTACCTTGATCTACAGCACGACCATCCCGGTCATCCTGTTCTACAGGCGCCTGGACGTCTTCAAGATGAATCCGGCCATCTTCTTCACCGTCTTCAACGTCATGCTCACGGGCACCATTGCGGCGTCCATAGCCCAGCAGCAGCCGCCCGCACAGAGGCTGCCCATCATCGTGGCCGGCATCGCGTATCAGGGGCTTGGTTGGATTCTATGTATGATCTATATGCCATGGTTCCTGGGCACCCTCTGGGTCAGCGGTCTGAGTCCGCCGGACCAGCGCCCGGGTTTGTTCATGCCCGTCGGGTCGGCCGGGTATACCATTGTGTCGCTCATTGGCTGCTCGCAGGCCCTGCCTAGCAACTATGCGTATTTTGCAACGCACCCGGTGGGCATCGAGGTTCTCCAGATTGTCGCCGACTGGGCGAGTATCTTCCTGTGGTTGTTTGCCTTTTGGGTATTTGCCGTCGCCCTCATGGCCAACCTACCCGTCGCCCTCCCCTACCGAGACGGGCGCTTCGCGGCGCCCCAGATGGGATTTAAACTGTCGTGGTGGGCCATCATCTTCCCCAACGTAGGCTTCACCATTGCCACGGGGTTCATCGGCAATGTGCTGGAATGGGCCGCGATACAGTGGGTTTGTACGATTATGACGGTGCTCCTGTTTGTGTTCTGGCTGATGGACATTGCATTGCACGTAAAGGCTGTCGTCACTGGCCGTATCATGTGGCCTGGAAAAGACGAAGATGCGACAAAATAATAGAAGTTCGGGAGAATCATGCCAGCAGAAAGAAAAAAAGAAGAACAGAGAAAATGTCCCATGGGAATCGACAGATATCCGGAGAATACTCAGCTGTTGGTATTCCAACCAAGAGGCAAATGGCTAGCCATGAATCGCTACTGTACACATCAACTGTACATCGACACCGCTCATCCCATGTTTCCTTTCAACTGACTATATGCATAGTTCGTATGTCTTGTCCAAAAGTTCCAAGCATTGTACTGATTGAGCAACAGAGGACGGGAATCAGATCATATGTAACATCCGTATATCACCTCCAAAAGACCTCCAGCATTGGGTCGTTTGTGACTCGGTCATAAGCCATCTGCACCGTCGGTGTCCAACCCAAAAGTCCCTCGAGAATCGTGACCCTTTGTGGAGTGGCAACCCGAAACCATGGTATCGTGCCCGTCAGCCGCGTGCGCCCGCGCCGTGAGCTAGCGGAAAAGCCACACACACGATGTACTCAACTCATGGGGAAGGTGACAAGATTTGCCAAGGTTCGCTTCGGCTATGTGGGATCGCCCACGTTAAGGTTTTTTACGGGGAAGATCCCGTGTTCGTGACGCCAAAAGTTAATCTCGAATAGGTTAGAATATAGTCGTAGAACAATCATGGAACATGGCGATAGCCGACTTTCACGCACGTTAGGATGGCGCTTTTTCAGAAGACCGTTCTTGCATTGTACTTGGTGGCTTATTTCCCCCGGCATGAAGTTATCCTTATGCGCGCACATTATATAGGTGATCGTTGCATTGATATAATTTATTATACAGCTTACAATGATTACTGACATGTGTCATGTCCCGCGTACCCAGGAACAACAGCCACCGCTACACTTCTCTGCGGAAAAAAGCCGTCTCATCACCTGACTGAACGCCAACAGCGATCCGTGAATGCGTCACATCGTACATGACACCTCGTACTAATCCCTCCCAACCATGCTACAATCGGCTTACGGAGCACCGACCCAGCTGTTCCACCATGGGTAGAATCGCTCTCCATCGGCCAAGGTCTTCAGCGTACAAGTTTCACCCTCGCAGCCAACAGATGGCTGAGTGTTGCCCCACCAGTCGATTGTAATGCCGTACCAACCAACAGTGAAGAACATGACAATGCCTGAAATTGCGATACCAGCCGAAAAGGCGGCCGAAAGGACAAAGTTGTACTGTATAAAATTGTTAGACATTTGAAAATCTCTATCAAAACAAGAAAATGGAAACATACCTTTGACCAGAAAGCGAGATAACGCTGCTTGACATAGATCCAAGACAACCATGCGATAGGAGCGGCAGGCCAGATGTAAGAGAATCCATAGGGTGCCCAGTTGAGACCACCGTACCAGATGGCAACGGGGTGGATCTGGCGCAGCAGTCGGCTGTTGGGGAACTTCTTCGTGAAACCCCAGAAGATGAGCACCACCAAAGCACCGAGAGGGAAGCCCAGAAGGAGAGCACCATATTGACCTTGGGGTCCAAAGACCTTGATGGGGCCAATCGTTCCCCAGAGGACGGACGCAGTAAAGAAGGTGGAAGGTCCAGGACAGGTCATTCTCATGGGAGCTGCCGTCGTGCAAATGTTCTCAATGTTGATCTGATATTGCATCACGGCGGTGGCAACAAAGGTGCTGACGAGCGTGCCGACCATTTGGGCGGCAAAGGTGTGCCATGGTGGGATCTTCAGGTAGTGAGCCATCTTCAAGTCATTGGCGAAGCCTACAGCGTGTGCGCAGGTGACATAACCAAACGACTTGAAGTAGTTCATGGCCAAAGCGTTGCCCTGTGCAAACATGCCACCGATGAACTCGGCCAAAACGTTCAGTGTGACCTCGATACCAGTCATGGCCTTGATGACACCGACAGGGATAACAAAGATCAAGGCGAGGAGGACACCATAAGGAACGGTCGCGGCGGTGGTGTACGTCGGCCAGGCAAGGATACCTGCAAAACCGCAAGCTGCGGCAATGAGCAGCACAGCCAAGTACCAGATTTCGGAAACCTCGGGATACTTGCTCATGAGCTTCATGTGAATATCGCTGTACTCTCCCTCAATCTCGGCAATTCCATCTGCATCTGTGTTTCTCTTCTTCTTCTTGAATGAGAATGCCTTGAACAAACTCTTGAAACCCATGGCAATTTCGTAACGGTGGAATATTGCCACATAGGTAATGGCAGATGCGTACACTCCGAAAAAGGCACCATAGACAATCGTGTTAGCAGCTCCAAGGTAAGCGGCCGAGTAATCCATGTACTTTTCATGGTCGTACATTCCATGTGCATCAAGAGCTCGAGACACATTGTATCTTGCGCCAAAGTGATCGAAAACGTGATTGTCGACAATACCAATGTATCCAGTGTTCCATGTGTTGGTGAAGTAGACAGCGATGATGATCAGGCCGAAGATGAATCCACCAGCAACCGTGTTGAAAGTTGAGAAAGCAGGAATCATTAGAGGGTCCGTACCAGTATATGCGACAATGTTCCAGTCCCAAGTCGGCCATGGGTTGAACAAACCAGCAGAGTTGAAGCCAGTCAGGATATCCAGGGTGTGGTTGTTGGGAGAGATCCAGGACATCCATGAGAAATAGGTCAAGACCTGGAAGATAAAATTGGGGAACCAAAAGTAGACAAACATGGCGGTGAATGCGTAAAAGAAGAATCGGTATCTCGATGCGCGATAGATCTTCTTGAACGGACCCAGCACGGGAATGTTGTATTCCTTGTGGAGAGCCGAGTTCAGCGCGATTGTGACGAGTGAAGCCGGCCACAAACAGTATGCTGGGTAGACCAGGAACTTTCTGGTCAGACCAGCAAGACCGTAACCGATAAAGTTTGTCGAGAGACCAATAAGAATCTGATAACCAAAGCTTCTGGCATACTGCTGGTTGAACTGGAATGGCAGAACTTGGGTCCAGATGATGTACTGGGTGTAAGGCAGACTCTGAGCCACAGTAGCCATCAGGGCGATAAGCATGTGCTCTTTCTTGTTGAAGCGCCCAGGGTTGAGACTGTGCTGAACGCCAAAAAGAGTGAAACGCCAGTCTGGGACGATCTTCTCCCACGCCTTACCCATCGGGAACGCAAGCAGTTGGGCAACGTTCGAAGTAACACTAATGGGTGGGTTGCGGACTGAGAATAACTGGTTGACTGCGGCCAGAGCGACCGAGAAGAAGATGCCAATAGACCATGCACGCACAGTCGAGCAAGGAGTATCGACATCATCAATGTTATCGACCACACCACGGACTTCGGCGTACGGGGAGTTGTTGGTGACGAGTGCAGCCTCCAGCTTCATCTCCCAAATAAGCTCATTGTGTTTTTCGGGGTTTTCAAAGACGTCAGGGGTGGCTAGTAGTCGACTATCAGCTCAATGCCTCTCAGCGGCGTTACTCGACTTACACAAAAACTCCTGAATCTTTTCCAAAATCGTATGGGGAAAGTTGGGATCATGCTTGTGGATCTTGAGGATATTCTCGGCTAGCTTGGGGGAAGCGTCAGTCTATTGGGATCAAGCTGTGATCATAATCAGACGTACAGCCTTTACACCCTCCAGGGTCATGCTCTCGGCCGTAGCCTTGGCCTCGATAAGATCTTGTTCCGTGACATTGAGCTCCCTAACGTTTGATGTTAGCCAGGAGAAAGTCATGTGTGGACAGAGAGTCTACTCACGATTCGATGGCTTGCTCAAAGCCGTTGAGCTCTTCGTCGACGGTGGCGGCGGCATACTTCTCGTCGGCCATATTCTTGTCATCAGAGTGGCTGTCAGCGGAGACAATGTTCTCCGACTGCCCTCGGTACCTCATGACTGCGATTGTTGTGTACGCTCCAAAGGGAAGCGTACTTGATCGGTTTGGAAGGGTGCAATGCAAGACAACAGACAGACAGGTCAAGGAAATTCCCAAGAGCACAGCAGCGGGAGGGTCTAACTCATATAATTGGGAGATCACGCTACCTCAACATCAGATAGAGGCAACAATGGCATGCACACCCATGCATGCTCCAGCAACTCAGCGGTCTTAGCAGCAGACCCTTGGCGTTGATCAAAGAGGCGCTCTGGGCCTTGCTGATCGTGGAAGGCAAAGGGTTCTGTGGACGAGGATACCGAGCAATGACAACGGAGAACCGTCGTCAATCGGGACAAGCGACTAGATGCAGTGGAAGAATAGCATTTGGGTAATGTCTTGTGCAACTCTTGTCCTTCCTAGCGACCTTCTCAATCGAGACAAGGCCAGTTTAGACATTTGGGAGGGTCGAGAATCAGACCAGTACGAAGAGATAACAACTGCTAAATATGCTCTGCCAATGAAAAATGCCAAGTTGGAATATGGGGGACCAGCTCTTGGCCACCCGCGGGGCTTGGTTCGACATCCGGAGGGCAGCATACGGAGAGCCGGGGGGGTATGGGCGGGCAGAATAAGGTGCAGTCGTCAGAATGGCGTTGTATGGCATCGAGGTAGAAAGTGGAGGCACTTCATCCGATATACCAGTAATCAAGCATGAAGCTTTGTGTTGCATGCACGAATATAGCTGCGTGCCATGTATAGACCGGGGGTTGTAGATGAAGGGGTACAACGGCAGTCCACGGAGGGAGTTGTACATGGTTTGGGACAAATGGGCCGCCGATCAGCTTGGGCCGGGCTCTGGATGCGAGCGATTGGTGTTTCGACGGCTAGCCAAGCTCGCCATTTTGGAGTCGCATGGTTGACTTCCCAAAAGAGGAGGCCGTAACATTGAGCTTCTCAATCTCGAGACATTGCGCGCGATGCCATGTAAAGACAGACGCCAGGCGGTGCCGGTTATTTTCGCAAAACTGAAATAAAAATCCCCCCGTTTGTCCCAATATGTCTCGTGGCCAGATAATAACCCCGGACGAATCGAATTGCGCTCGCTTGAATTGGCGTGTATGCCCGCCCGAGCGCGTGTAAATTGCCTCATCCGCCAATCACAGCGCTCAGTGGTTTGCATGCGACATGGACCTGACAGTACATAGTAGGTTAGGTGAGTATGTGCGAAAGGGCCTGGCCTTGCTTCCCTCCCTCCCTAGTCCAGCCAGTGCCTCCTAGTAGCTGCATTGCATGAGGGCGGACGGTGGGCAAAGAAAGGACCACGGTGCATCCAACCATCCGGCTCTGATCGTGATTGGGCTTTCGTGGGTTTGTCTTGGCTTCTAGAAACGTTCCACCCGCTTCGTCAGCTGGAGAGTGTTCACCAGCTACATCTGCTCGGCGGCGTTCTTGGCAACAAGGTCGCGCCGACCGGGTACGACGCCCTCCTGCTGAATGAGGTACAACGTCAAAAGAAACACCAGGTGTTTACAATTTCCCACCTTGCAGAAAGTGCTCGTTAGCATCACTATAGTTCGGCGGCGCCGTGGATGGGTGAGCTGAACAGGCCGAAACCCAAAGTGCGCCAGAGATTGAGACAAGAGATGGGTGCACAAACCTGTATGTTGTAGGCTGTACACAGAGAGAGTAGCGTTGCTACCTCTCTAAAGGTGCAAGCAAACATGGCAATCATTTCATCCCACTCTCCACCCCTGCAACGCCCAGATTGCGACTCACCCCGTTTCCCTCCAAATGCACCTCCCAATGCATGGAGTAAGGGATGGGAGGGAAAATGGAATGGAATGGGGATCGGAGCAGCAGCGCAACATGCAAACACACACAGGGTCAGATCACGACTTATCGTCTTGCCCCTCATTCTGGGCACGCGTTAAAGGAAAAGCGGCACATCCCTTCGGCGCGGGCGACAGCGCAACTACCTATCAGAGGCCATCAACCATCCATCCAGCAATATAATGTTGTTATCGCAATTTCTGGTGGCCATGATTTGTGGTCAGTTCTGAAATGTCGCCTCTTGAGGGGATAATTGGGAGGTTGCACAAGACTGCCATCAGGGCGGTTGGCTCCCATCCGAATACCTGTGCTGGTCAGCGACCCCCTCAAGTAAGACGAAAGTGACCGCAGTACTACTAGTATCCTGCTTTGCACAAAGTGCCATGAGTGAATATGCAGCTCCGAAGGCTGCATGTATGGTATGGTTCGCGAACCACCCCGGCTGGCCACACGTCCTTGAGGGTTTCTGGGCATCATGGTCAGCCACCCCTTGTCGTCTCTGTGTGCCCAGTCGACTTTCTGGCCGTTGGAGCTCTTGGAACAAGCGGCTGATTACCCAAGGTTGGATAGGCCGAATCAATGTATGCATTGAGGGAATCTTGGCTCTGATAACCAGCCAATATTTGCATGCCTTGTGCGCACCATACAGACGATTCTAGCCGAATAACCAGCCACTTGGTAAAGTCGCCTCTCTGTCTGGTCAGAAAACCCTCGAAAATTGAGACTCGATATGTCTCTTCGGTATCTTGCGGGCAGATAACGACATTCGCTTGGGTCTTCTGCTTCGTTTTTGAATAGTGCATCTTGAGTCCCAGGTGATCATGTTCCCCCAGCTAGTCGGTCGGGTCTGCGGTGTTCCAGCTTGAAAGTGGCAACCAGGGCGGAAAAGTCCAACTGCATCATGGACCCCATTGATCGCGCAACTGCTTCTTCCCACCCTTTTCGACCTCGCTCACGGTTAAGCGAGGAGATGGCATATCAGTTCCCCCAATCCGTGGCGGATTTTTCCCTCTTTCCAACATCAACGGGCCAGGCCAATTTCTGGGCTGCGACTGCTGGAGGGTAGGAAAAAAAAAAAAAAAGTTCCAGACCTCAAGACTCTTTCCCCCCATCTTCCTGATAAGCCAATGCGCGGATTGAACGGCAAGAACGGGTGGCTTCAGAACGCCACCGAGATCTTATCATATGATCTTATCATATTGAAATCAAAGTGGTCTTTCATTCGTCTTCCTCCCCCTCCTCCGTCTTGTTCTTCGCTTGCACAAGTCGGATAAGTTACCGAGGCAATGCGCATGGCTGTCAGTTGGAATTTGTGACAAGATAACACCACCACGTGGTACTTTTCGCAAACCGACATCAGCAGTTGCTTGCTAGTGGTACAAAGCTGTTGTTACCCATGACAATCAATAGCGGCTCGAAACGCAGCGTAGTCCTGATGACGTGGTTTTCTCTGGTTGTGGATGAATATGCTCTCAACACACCACATCATGATTGACAGCACTTTTGTACATGCCTCAATCAAGCTGTCATTATTCCTCGCAATTCATTCGCTCCAAGTGTCCGTCTTATCAATGCACAAGGGACAGGAACAACTGGCAGGCAGTCTGGGTTCTCATTGGGCAATGGGGTCGGCGTATTGTCGGATAGAGTCCTCATGGTCTCGAGTCCGTGGCAAAGAAAAGAGACGATGGGCTTGTGTATGCTGCCCAAGCCTACCAGTAACTGATTCTTGGGATTTTTGACTGATCTCCAACGAGGGAACCTCATGATGTGATCAAGGCGACACTATCTCACTTCGACGGGATTTCGATGGGACTGCTGGCGATGAGTAGAACAGCATTTGATGCTGCCGTAGTATCTTGGAAGCAAATGAACAGGAAGATGAACCCGTAGATATTGCTGCTCGGCCCGAGTGGCAAGGAACTGAACCATGATGAAGGGTATACATTGGTATGCCCTATGCAGTTCGTAAGTGTAAGGCTGAGTCAGCTGTTCTGTGCCGCAGACTATGTGCAGTAGTAGGTAATATGCCCCTGGTCAACGAACGGTTCGACAGGAGGTCCCAAATCACAAACTTACCTTACCCATGAGAATCCTTCCCGAATCCCCCTCCCTTGGGTTAATGTGTTCGATCCAGGCCTAGGACGTCACATGAGGAGGAGATCAAACCAGCAAGCAAAGACCATTTATAAACGAAAATGCGGTGCCGGATGCTCTATAATCTCCGGTAAAGTCCCCCAGGCAGAGAGCAGCCCGGCCATTGTAGCCCCACCCATCGGGGCCGAAACGGCTTGCGTAGAAATTCGCGGAAATTGGGAAACATCGGCATGGTTCTTGTGTCTCAGTTGTGTTCTTGGACTGGACCTCTTTCCTGATCCGAGCAATACCAAGATGGAAGCAAGAATGCAGGTGGCTTGTGATGGACTGGTTGCTGGAAAGAATGCCTGCAATGAGGTTGCCGGAACCGCAACGGGAGGACAGTCGCGCAATACATGATGCTGTTTCGAGGTTTGCCCGCTGTGAACATGAGATCTGGGAGACCAGAAAGACTAGAATTATCTGCCTTGGTGTTGCAGCTAATGTTTTGGAGATTCGATGATAAAGGCAGAAACGCTTAGACAAAAGTATCATGGTTCATCACAGAAAGTCGTGTGTTTGTTTAGGCAGCTGTCCCGAAGTAGTTGTCCGTCTGAGTCAATCGGCGTCCTATAACATTACATATGCCGAACTCCGAACCCCTATACGTTATGGTCCGTGGAACTTTACCCGATCTGTAGCAAACCATGAGCTTTTTCTATATGAACCTGGAATCTTCTAGCTTGTGTCTCCAAGCTTCTTCCTGCTTCGGAATTGTGTTTCAGAATTCAGAATCAGAGGGCCACGATGAGCCTTCTTTGGTCTGCGCAAACGGAACAGATACTCCCCAACACCGTCTATTGACTATATTGACGACGCTACGTGCCTATTTTCGGTCATCGAGATCATTCGTTACACCATACCCACTGAGGTGATTATAGACCAAGTTACTGTCTGGTCCAGCAGTTTGATGATTAGCAACTACCGACTCAAGTATATTTCATCTTCTACGCTTCCATTAGCCGGCAGAGTGTCACGGCCTAGTATAGGCATCCAAAGCCCATGGAGGCTTGGTGATCTCTCTTTCTAGGCCCTTTTAATGGTTTAATAAGAATCGTCTAGACTGTATTTTGAAATGCCCCTTTCCGTCACAGGCCGTGACGTTTACTATGTATCTGATGACTGGAGGGTTGACCAGGAATAAGCTCACGACCTTCGCTAAACACGACAAGCCATGTTTCATTCATCACAGAATTGACAGGTCGTCTACAGAATACTTGTTTGGTGCTCGCGGCTATCGAGGATAGAGCGGATGGTTGCCATCATGAGAGAACGGATATAGTTACTTCACAATATGTAGGAACCTGTGGAAAACTTGGGCCATGGCATTGGCGAAGCTCCGGAATGTTTGAAATTAACAATGCAGATCTCGATTAATCATCTACTTTGCTTCTCTATGCTACCCAACGCGCGCAACGGCCCGTGTCGTGACACGGACTGTCTGACTGCAATACCGATATATTGGGTATCATTGCGGAATTATTCTGCAGGCGCATCTGTCCATTTTCTCATGCTCGAAACTCGGCGTACTTCTTTCTTGCGGAAAGTTCGATGCATTGCCGGAAGACGTGGATTTATAGGGAAAAGAGGGAGCTCTTTTCTCGTTTACAGGCCCTTGTCGAGGAGGGTGACAAGAGCGTTGGGGTTGGCACCGACCAGCTCATCAGCCTTCTCGCCATCCTTGAAGAGCATGAAGGTGGGCATGGCGCGGATGCCGAGTTCCTGGCTCAGCTCGGGGAGGTCATCGACGTCGATCTTGGCGAAGAAGACATCCTTGTACTTCTCGTCGTTGGAGTGGCTGGAGATTAAGCAACGTCAGTCATTATTCCTAAGTGGTTATGCCCCAGCAGGGCTCGATCGACTCAAGGTCTGGATCGGCCAGTTCAAGGCGAGGAAGGCTGTGCTTGAAATGTACTCACTTGGCCAGGATGGGGGCGATAGCCTTGCAGGGACCGCACCAAGTAGCGAAGCAGTCGAGCATGACGACCTTGTTGTCCTTGAGAGCCTGCTTCCAGGCATCAACACTACAAAAGAGGCATCGAGTGTTAGCAGTATGTTTCACAGCGGCATTCTTTTGAGGATATGATAATATGACGGGGTATGACGTTGTGCTGTACAATGCGCACACATCCGAGGTCAAGAGGGTGGGGTAGCTATCTCACTCGCTCCCGCTCACGGCGCAGTCCTTTCCTGCATGCAAGCGAGACGGGGAAAGGCAAGGGAGAGGGAGAGCAAAGGAATGGGAGTTTGATGGCAGTAGAGTTGAGGCAGACAAGAGAGACGGATAGAGGCGCGCGACATACGTTTCGATGTTGTGGACAGTCATCTTGGGCGATGTTGTGTGGAATTGACGAAGCTTGGAGAGTTGCGAAGGGCGGAATGCTGGTTGTCTAAGAGAAGACTGAATAGTTCTGCGCAAGAGTGTTGATGCTGACATGTGGAAAAAAGAAGTCGGCGTTTGGTGTTGAGGGGAAGGTGGGTTTTAAAGAGATGTTCAATCACACAAGTTCGGCGTGGTTATCGGGCTGGCTGCAGTTCAGTTTTCCAAAGCAAGTTGGTCGGTCTCTGTCGGTCCAGTAGAAAAACGGGAGCGGCTTCACCAGCAGCAGCCAGTGGAGGGGCATTATTTTTTTTTTCTCTCACTTTTCCTATGGGGCATTTCACTCAGCAAGGTGGATTGGTAATGGGGGGTTACGGGCTATCCTCCAGTCCGATCAACCGCTGCTAGTTACGTGAGTAATAACACCTACGCCCGCGCGCCCTGCCTGGCCTGACCAAGAACAAAGACGACAAGCAAGACATTATGACAATTTGAAATTCTGTACATAAGACAAGGCAGATCTTCAAAGGCAAAAAGCGAGGCAATCCATTGTATCATTGGATGGAATCACCGAGAAAATGTTCTATTATTATGCCACAGGCAATGCAAAATCTCATTCACCGAATCTGGTCCTAGGCTTGTCCGATCTAATGAGTTGTTTGGATCACTCACTGATTGATTGACGGGCTGTGAGACTGACAATGCGTCCTTCCATGCGCATGATAGCTAATGCATGCTTGAAGCTACTTTAGGGACGGACAGGTGCGGGCAGGCTGCGGGAATGATGTAAACTAACAAAGTTCCCCCGGGATTTGTCAGTGCACTTGGCCCCGGGGGGCCCTTCACTGGCCCTGTCATTGCTCTGATGAATGACGCGATTGCTGCTTGCTGCTGTGCCTGTGCATCAAAGGCTGTCCAACCAGATCTTTCTTTGCAAGCTCTCTGAGAATTCTCCGGCTTGCCCCAGGCAGAGTCCTATCCGAGAATACCCTGCTGCTGTGCACGCTGCAATGTGCGCACCAAGCGCTGACAGATCAAGTTGCCTTAGGTAAGCCTGGTGTTTGCCTGTAGGTAGTTCCCGATGCTCCGATTAGATATCGGTGGGTCACTCCGAGGTTGGGTCGCCATGATGAGGAATCATCTTCAGGTCATTCCCGGCCCCATCAAACTCAGTAAGCGACATGTATGTCGAGATAGTGTAATAAGCCAGACGTTGGCCGTATTTTCATCCATCTTCTTCCATAATAACGACAAATTGAAACTCCAGCCCGCCGCATGATGGTGAAGATTTGGAATCATTAAGAGCCATACTGCTGCTGCTAATAATAATAAACGGGTGTCACGACATATTCCAATATTCCTGTACAACGATCAAACTCTGCAGTGTCGCAATTTGGCTGATCACCTTTCTCTCATAAAGATTCCATCAGTTTGTTCGCGCGATTGTGTTCCAATTGCCTCAAAATTTGCCAGGAAACACTGACCTGTGGCTTCGTTAATCTTAATCAAGAGCGTACATTGGGGCATTTGAAATCGAAAGAACAGGCAAACCTTTGTGTTGGCAAACGAAGTTGCACGCAGCATCAGCAGTATCATTTCACATCATGGGTATAGAATCATAAGATCTTGCAAAACCCTAAACAGCGCACCTCCGACCGAAGGCTGGCTACATGTATGGACAAGTCATTGACGCTGCAAATTCAGAAGTAGGTAGGCCGGCATGTTGTGAATGGGTCTTCTGTAATTCGGCATCGAGAACGCCTCGCTGGAACCACGAATGCGTCCGCATTCACCAGCTCCCAGGACAAGCTCACAGAGAGGCTGTTGGGAGGGTCTCTGTCTTTTGAAAATATTAGAAACTGCACGGTTCTACCCGCCCACCTCGAGGTAGAGACTGTGCTGTTGATACAAGCAGTATATTGATGCCGTTGCGCAATTCTTTTGAAAGCCTAGTTGGTCGGGAGAAATTCCAAACTTGCCCCTACCAGATTATCATCCGTGGGTTCTTGCCATCAGAAACACCATGAGCTGCCATGCAACGTCGAATAGTTTTCTTGGAGCCGAACACCCACTGGTGGAGGCCTGTAGTCAAATCAAACATATGGTAACGAGACGAGCAACTGGCACTAGGCGAAGGGAACAGAATTGTAGGAGAAGAATGTCATGTTCTTTAGGGGAGACTGATTTCTTGACTCAGATGACGAACTGGATTCAGGATACAGGCGTCGTGGCTCTGGTGTCAACCTATATCTCTCTCTAGACTTGGCCGAGCAGGAGCAGTCTACTCAAAATGATACATGGATTGCTCCTATAAGTGGATTGAATCCATTTACCATTTCCGGATTATACGTTTGATAGAGAAGCGATTATCATGTTTACAATGTGTACTGCAACAAGTCACTTTCTCCTTGGGCAGGAGGCATGTGTGTCGATTCGTGATAGAGACAACAGGATGTATCCTTCAACCATCGTGCGACTAATTCAAATCCACATATTCAGGTATAACAATGGAGGGCACCATCCGTAGGTTATTCAAGTCTTGCTATACGCTCTACATCACCATGGGGTTGCTAATGCAGGGCGTCCGCAACCTGACAAGTAAGTGTTGTACGCCGTCCACTACATGTTTCCGTAGTACCTGCATTTTTGCATTAGAACTTATAATTCGGGTGAGAACTATACTGGTTCGCTCTATGGTACATCTGCCTTGCTTGGGAGATAGAAGCGGTTCCATGACTAGGATGTCAACATCTCATCTTTTGACTCGTGCGTGCTTTGGTGTAAGTCGACCTGTGTTTAGTAAAAGGGTGATAAGGATTGCTGCCGGGATCACGAAGAGTCATGCACAAAGAAGAATGTTTGGTTCTGTAGCACTTTGATGGTTCCGAGTCCATCATCGAGAAACTCAGAAGCGCTGCATTTTGACAAAGATGCGTGCTTGTGTATGCGAATCACTGTTTCTGGAATGTATAGCCACAAGTTTGGCTATTACCCCTAAACTACAAGACTCCCTATCGACTAGCAATGATTATCTTCCCGCAAGTGTTCAGACTATACTTTAGGTGCCAAGTCATCGGATGGCAGACTTCCACCGGTCCTGGTCACTGTCACTCTAGTTTCCGCTTCAGACCGGACATTCATGCGCTTGGAGATTGCTAGGCGAGGGCCCTAATGCCATCAAGCCAGCTCTACCACTATCGTCGGGGCCTTCCACTAGGGGAAGCGATGCTGGAAGTGTTTGGGGGTTCATGGCGCCAACCTAGACGAACTGCTCATCATCGCCGGTGCTTTGCGATTGGAGAGGACGTAAGGTTGCCATGCTCAGCACCGCGAATATCAATCTCACGTGAGTCTGTGAGGATTGTAAAGCTAAAGCCTGATCAAAGCAGAGCACCGGCCGCCTCGCGAACAATTAACAAGGCATACGTAAGATGAGGGCGGCGGTCAGAATTTCGATATTGTCCACATGCTCGACGATGTTTTTGCGCTATTGCTATTGACAATGCGGTGGTGGCAGCTCACCGCCAACGCTAAGATGAGGAGGAGGTACCGGTACTTGCAACCTTTAGACTTTCCAACGGTCAGAGAAGCCGGGTTCAAGAGCTTGAGCTTGTCGGATTTGACTCGTACCCAGGCTGGATGGACCAAGCCACCACGTGCGAGTCACGTCGATTGTAAGCGCAGAAGTGCATGATTAACGCCATGAGCTTTGGAGAGTTCGCGTTTGCATCATGGACATGTACGAATGAATCATGGTGTCGTGAAGTGCCAGACAACAACAGTGGTGGTCATCATAAGTGAAATTTCGAAACATCAAACAACGTTTTATTTCCGTTTTTGCACACAACTATGTGTGCTCCATGGACGCCTGCCAGGAGCGCCTATCTTCTTTGGGGTATCAAGCTCCTGGTCTCGCGTCTCGCCAATATAAATCAGTTGGGTAGTAACCCAGAATCGTTGCACTGCGCAAAGTGCTACATCATAGGAACGAAAGACGCCCAAAACATCACGCGCTTGTGCCATGCCTTTTCATGCTCTGCATGAACAGAATATTGAGACTACCCAGATCATGGGCCCGGAGGACCCATACTCATCAGGTTTATCCATTGATTTCTCTGTCCATCGTTGCCAAATAGCAACACATATATGATGACGTCCTAGGTCTCTGGAAGCGAAATGAAATACGCCGGATATAGTTGCAGGAGATCGACTCCAATGGCTGAGATCCTGTCTCGGTATCTAGAGGGATGGCGGGTGAATAGATCAAAGATTGCAATGAATGTTGGTCAGAGTGATCCAGCATCCGTTGCGACAAGGTATCCGCATGTTGGCGGTAAGGGACTTGACGGACTTTCTTGCAGTGCATTCTATAGGCGAACACGCATTGCAATACGTTAAGCCAACTATTAAATAGCCGGCAAGTGACGTCAAAAAAGCCTCGAAACAGTAGCAAGGTGTGCGGATGAAATAGAACAGAGCGTAACAGAGAACAACGATGATAGATTCGGATGATGCCGTCCAGAGATTTTTCCGTTTTTTTTTTTCTTTTCTGGGTGTGGTGGATAGAAAAAGGAAATTCGAAACGAGTGAATAAAGGTCGGTGACGATCCAGGAGAAACAAAATGAAAGATGAATGAGTGTTGGGTGGACCATGTGCTATAGGTCCTTTTGGTCTTTTTTTTTTCTCTGTTCTTGATGTCAAGAATCGACAGTGTCGAGCCGCAGTCATACACCTCTATCATCGCTATTCCTGTTGAGCAAGTCAGCGCATATTTCATCAACACATACCTTGTTTGCTTATTGCGTAACCGGTTCGAGACTTCTGCGGATGTCCGAAGAAACTCGAGGAGAAATGTCAAGAAGCTTGGCGCTTCCGGCACTATAGTTACGGCCGTGTCCCTTTGCAACCTTGACGCTTGTTGCGCTCTGCAAATTGACAGGGGATTCTGCACCAAAAGAGGACACTTCTTCGCTGCCCTTTTCGCTTTCGTATTCCTTCTCATCGTCCTCAAAAGAGTGCAGCAGGAGACCTTCCCGGCTGCGCATCGTTTCTCGGTGGTGAGTAAAAGTTGGCGTCCGCGTGACGTTACCCCATTTGGGTGACTCTATCTCGTCCTCCTCATCACTGCTTGGCAGAGCCTCGCCTGTTGACTTGCGGTTCAAGTGTTTCTCGTCCGTGACAATATTGAGGAAGTCTCTATCATGTGTGGCGTCTTCGTCCTGATCCACTGAATCCCCGGATACTGATCGTAATGGGTAATTATTCATGGAACCGCGCACGCCAGAAGACGTCCGCTTGCGGTTGACCCGGCCTCCGAACCATGAGCCCTCCGAATCTATCGATGCCATGGACATGGAGTGCGGAGCAGGAGATGGCTGAACTTCATCCCGCACCAAAGAGTTTGGCGTCTCGCGATGTCCAGAAGCTGGTGTATCATATCTCATAACAACGTCATCGGTGATGGCGGCTAAAGGCTCAGGCTGTTGAACCTCACCTTCAGGCGACGCTACACGACTGTCTGGGGGCGATAAAGGCAGCTCCGGCAAATCTTCTCTGAAACGTGACATTGTGCGTTTGGGAACCTTTGAATTCGACCGTTGGACAGGTGCGTAGGTGGGTGTTTGCGAGCCTTGCTGCGCCGTCGGCATGGAGTCTCGAGAAGTATTCGAGAATGAAGACGGTTCATCAGATGTACGTCGGGCTTTACCACCTCTCCTCGACCACCTGAATCTTGACAACCAAGGTCTACTTGAACTGCTCTCAGAAAGCCGCCGGTCAAGTGATTCGCTTTCAGATTTCGAAACAATTCTTGTGGATTCGGATCGGCCATCATGCTGTTCAGACCCCGTGGGCAATGGCGATTTCGAGCGACGTTTCCTCGATCTCATGAAGCCAATGATGCCTGGGCTAGGTGAGCGTGACTCTTGCTTAGCAGGTTCAGTCGAAGTTTGCTTCTGCTCGGGTAGAGGGTCGCGCTGGATTTCATCTGCTCCAGCATCGAAACTATTTTCCCGATGGAATTCCTCCAACGGCGACGGAGCACGTTGGCCCTTCCCATCTTCAGTTTCCGACTTTGGTGAGCTGTCATTGACTTCGGCATCTTCAGCGGAAGGGCGCCTCCTGGTTGACGTGACCACTGCCGAGGTAGTATCTGTTTCAACGGCAGGAGCCTCTCGACCTAAAACACCTCTCTCTAAATTCTGCGGCGGTGGTGTCCCATTCTTTCGAGCCTCTGCTTCTTCAGCACGCTGTCGTTCAGCCCTTCTGGCTAGCCGTCTTTCGACTCTTTCTCGCTCTTTTTCTTGCTTCCTTTCCCTCCTCCGCTTATCTCTTTCCATCAACTCGCGCAAGTCAGATGCGTCCAGGTCATCTGCGAGGTTGTCTACCCGCTTGTGTGCCTTGAGTTCGGCTTCCGATATGCGAGCCCGTTCAGATAGTTTTCTCTTTACTGACTGGGATCGCAATGGTCCGGGTTGGCTTGGTGCCCCAAAAACAGGATTCGAGGCATATCGTATGGTTGGGCGAGGTGCAAGTGCGTCGAAGGCAGATACTCTATATGAAATGTGCTCCGAGTCCTCGGACATGGCTGAGTGCAAAGACTCGGCAATGGGCAAGGAAATGTCTGAATCCGGGCGATGCCACTTCCTCATCAGGGAGCTAGATTTGTGCCTCTTACTGTTTCTCTTGACAGGTTTTCCTTGCGTCCAGTTATCGGCATTGAGACGGGCCGGCATAGTGTGACTCTGGCTCAAAGCCCTGATCTCAGCCTCACGGTCATGGTCTTGCTTTCTTCGCTTGCTGGAATTCTTGCGAGGGAGAGGTTGTGCCGACCTCTTTTGTTGCGAGATGGAAAGATGGAGGGTGGGTGTTTGGTCCCTGATTCCAGCTTCATTTGCCGCAGCCCCAGATGAACCCTGTCCGGCAGCTCCATAATGGTTTTGTTGTATGCTCGCTGGGATGGGGCCTGTTGGTAATGGTGGGACCGATTCCTGCCTCGCTTTGGCAAAACGAATCGAATCCCGGCGACCGGGCGAGAAACTGTAAGTCCTGGGTTTCCTTGAGAGTTTCTTACTGCTAGGCGACTCCCGTTGCCGCTTTTGCTTGGCGCGATCAGACCCCGAAGCGTGGTCTAGGTCCGTATTCGTTGCAGGTTCCGTCATGGCCCGCTGCGGCGCATCAAATGCATCCTGGGCTCGGCCTCGCCCTGGGGAGCGTTTGCGAGACCCTTTTCGCCGGAATGGCCAAATGGCCATGTTTCCATGTGTTAAACAGCTATCCGAGAAGAATTGACAAATGTTCTAAAGAAGTAGGAAGTTTCAACAAGGCTGCGTGTCGTGATATATTAATGTTTTTGCCGTTGTTGTCCTTGCATCTAAATCCATGGGCGCGAGATGAGCAACGTCATTCGAGTGAAGCGGGAATTCGCAAATGAAATGATTGGCAATTGCCTGCTCTAGACGATAGGCATAGAGAGTTGGTGTGGCCAAGAAGTAATAATTGACGGGCACCCCGATTCGTCTCTTTGCAATGGTCGTTGGCAGGAACGGATTCGCATGAGCGACAAGGGTAAACGCTGATAGAACTTTCGGCGTTGAAATTAATGCAAGCTCGAGCAGTAAGCGGCCAGGGATCGATCGAAGGGGAAGGCACTCAAAGCCTAAAGGTCGTCCGTCATAGGGCTGAGGAGGAGAGCGCTCGTGTCGCTAGAGATTTCGATGCAGATTGATATGATGGCTGCGCAGCAATAGCCAGGGTTGCCAATCCGTTTTCTGGTGAAAGAGTAGCAGTTTAGGCTTGTGAATTCGTTGTAAATGCGAAACCCAGCGCAGGGCGACAAAAATTCAGTCGAACTTGGAACGACGAGTTGGTGGTGGCGGTGGGTCGAGCTACCATGTAGTAGCAGGTAGTTTGGGCAGGTACTGTAGTGGCAGTAGTGTAGTGTAGGGAGGTAGGTATGGAAAGTCAGACATCAGTCTGATTTGAACCCTTTGAAATAAATCCAATGTATGTACACATCAAGCGCGGGGAAGGGAGGCGAAAAAGAAGTGTACAAGAGATGCAATCAATTAAAGGACGACTTGCTCCGTTGAGAAAAGGCGCAGGTAGGGTGGTGCGCAATGTATACGTAGGTAACATAGGTAATAGGACATGCAAGTCAATGTAGCTGGTGGGCAAGGGACATATTTCAATGGCTGATCTGAATGGTTTTCAGGTTCTCTCACACAAAGCAAGGGTCGACTGGTAGTGTGTTCCAAAGGAGCCGCCACAGATTCCACCCTGCGCTGACTGGATGAACTTTGGGGCCTGGTTTGATGATTCTCTCTGCTGCTACTCGTTGGCCTTCTTTCTTGCTCCTCCGCCCTGCCTGTCTGTGGTGACTACACTACCTTACTGGCGTGCTGGGCACGTTGGTAGACGAAGATCCCCGGGGGGGCTCGACCAACGCCGTTTCTGGGGTCAGCGGCCGTGCTACGGGAATGTGGTGATGTGACTGGATGGTGGAAGGGGGGCGGTAGGTTCGGTACGAGATGGAGTACAAGCTTGGTTGCAAGCTTTTTGCCCAGGTACCGATACCTGCTGCCCACCAGACTTGGTTGCTTTTGCGCTACCATGGACCCAAAGAAACATCAAGAGCTCGCTGGTGCCCAAAGATGGCGATGATGTGCGTCGCAAGCTGCGGAAAAGCTATCTCAATTGGCGCCTGGCCTTAGCTCTACATTGGCTAAGGTAGGGGGTCTTTTCTGCCGGATCATCTGCTTGGTGTGCAAGGTGGGCTGCAAGGTTCAACTGGCTTTCTTGCACTAGGGGCTATTTGCTGGGGGGGGTCTTGGTTAGCGGCATGATGACACCAAGAATTGATCGTCGCTATGCCTTCTTCATCATTGTCGACGTCGTTGTCGACTGAAAAGCGCAACAACCTACAGCGCTCTCCTTCTTGACGACGTATGGTGACATTAAGATTCTTGGTAATAGTAACTACTGAATTAGAATGTACGACGTCTGAGAGGCAGCCCTCAAGCAAGGTACCCGAAGATTGAATTTTATCTGCGCACTCGACAGTCGCTCGCAGCTACCGGTACCTCCCGCGAGAGTTTAATCGCTGAACCCACCTGCAAGAAATATAGTCGTTGGTTTGATTCTTTTGCTATGGGGCCGGAGCGAACACATGAAATTTTGCAAATGGGTCAATCGGTTTCATGGAACAAAGTCGCCCGAAATATCCACCAAATCTACCTACTGCATTTTTTATCAGGACCTCAGTGTACAGATTGAAGCGATTCTTCCAGCTCAGTACATACAGAGGCAGTGGTATGTCTGCATTCGACTTTTTACCATGTTTGCAGCTAGACACCCATGGTGGGAATGGAATGTTTGCCTCAGAAAAGGACTTGGAGTGATGTCGTATGGTTCGAGCATAGAGAAACGGAGAAACCAGTTCTAAATCCCCCAGATCCGCTGAGCTGAATGTACGAGAAACTGGAAAAACGAACAACTTTTCACGACGAGCTTGAACACGACCCCTGGAAACACACCACGGTCCCCTGTCGGGACTACGTAGGTTGCATCCATCTCATCACCCTATTTTGAGAAGGGCTCAATATGCTCCATCCTCTTTTGACTTGAAATCTCTGTTTCAAAGAAAAGCCAGAATAAAAAGTAGCAGGTAAGCACAAGTGGCCTATCTCTTATTACGCTGGAGTCAGAGAAACCATCTGCTGGTCCTTTTTGACTACCTAGAATCCGTGTCCTAGCTGTATTCTACGGAAGGCCTCGAACTATAAATCATCAGGATCCATGCCAGCGGGCTTGCGAAAAGTCTACAGGCGGGGGATGCGGTCCTGTACAGATTACGGCTCAAGTCTGCTTGGCTGGGATCTTGAGCCCTTATTGTGACTAGCCGTCACAACCGTGACTTTCGAGGTTACGTAGCGCTTCCGACTTCGTCAAGGGCACTGGCTGTCCCAATCCCCCCAAGTACGTAGCACTGAAAGGTCGACTAGATCTTGATACCTTTTATTGGGGCTCAGGGTCCTGCTGCGTACTTCTTGGTCCATCTGAGCACCTTACCCGAGTCATGTGATATTACGAAGCTTGTGACCTGGGAAGTGGTTTGCTCACGGTTGTCTTGCGAAACGGCATTGATCGGGCTGCCTCCTATTCAGTGAGTTCTTGTCAGGACTTCGTCCGAGCAGCCAAATTTCTTGCAAGTCGCTGCCATTTCTCGGACAGGGGCGTGCGTCAGTGGTTTTTTCCCCCTTCGGCGCAGGGGTATAAGTCAAGGCATTTCCTCCCCCTGCGCGACGATCGTTTGCCGCTTTGATCCCAGTTGCCCAGGTTCAGAAGCTCAGAACACGATGCGCCACAACTTGTGAAATAGAGTTACAGTTAGTACTCGGTTATGATTCTTTTCTGCGCCTACGCCATTCGTGACGGGACGTTACCGGCGAACCAGAACCAGACGAGCCAGACCTGCAAGCCGGGCGGCAACCACCTGTCAACGTGTCAAGCAACTAATAATTTTGTATAGGGCCCTACTATATTCACGAGGGGCTGTTCGGCCATCGGGGCCAAATTTTTAATGAATAGATAAATTATCCACGTAAGCCTAGTGCTTGATCATTTGAACAAACGCGCAAAAGTGATTCCCATGTTCCACAGTTTCGCCAATTCGCAGGTGAATACGAGGCATCACAAAATGGATCTAGATGGGAGATGAGGTACAATGTATCTAGCCATGTGCCTAATGCAGAACTCCGCTACGGTGCGTCTGTCTACCGTCTTTTGCCAGTTTCTTGTATGCGCGCCACAACTCAAGGAACACTCAGTCCAGGCGTTCGAGAGTTCCAGACTACATGTGAGTTGACAGCGATGTAATCAAGCGGCTTGCTCCGGTGTTGATAGTCATATGGAATGACCGGATTGCCGATAGCTGGGGCACTCCAGGAACAGCGATTCCAATAAGGGAAGAAGATAGAATGCACCTATGACTGGTAGCTCCAAAGTCTCATGGCATAATGGAAATACATGAGTCGCTGCCTGTCGTGGGTTCGTTCAAGGAGACTCCATGCACACGCGGTATGGAAATTTCCCAACCCGAGCCAGCGAGAACATGTTGTCGCTATATCCTTGCATTGCAGCTATGTATGCGGGGTTTGAGAATAGATAATAAGCAATCCGTTGGCGCTCAGCGATGCCTATTATGCTGACACGTATACGCAGCAATGGCACCTATGCAAGCAAGCCCTCGGCGGAAATCTCCTTGGGTTATCCCATCTTGGACGGCATGTATCTGGTAGGAAATGCTTCGGCCTTTTTTGGCCGGTGATGCATTGCCCGCAATGCTACATCCAGCAGTTGTGTTCGTCCGCCCGGATGAAGTTGGACTCGGTGCTATCCCATCTGGGAGATCTGACGTATCAATTGACTCTCGCCAATCACGGGAATCACATGGCGGCCAGCCATTATTTCCCAATCAGAGAATCCAGAGGTATTTCTTTTGGCCGTGCTCTGAGCATGCCGCAACTCCGTGCGCAATGACAGTAAATACAATCAACGGTAACCCAGCATGACGAGCAAGACTTGGCCAGGGGATCATATTCTACGAAGCACTTGACCCATGGAAATATCAGAAAAGTATGAGACATTACTGCCAAAAGCTGACACACTGTCATCAATTGGCCAGTCAGGAACCAGTATAAATGCTTTTACCATGTCGCTAATATAAGCTTGACATTTGTGTTTACAATGTCTCCGACGGCAGATGCGTGGACGAACTTTGACCGAAATAGAAAGACTGCAAAAAGAATAAATACAGAAAGTAGTGTCTCGAGCTGAAGACACAAGCCACATTTAATCGTCCATAGGGAGATGTAGCGAAAGTAGGATCTCAGGTATCCTGTTTGAAGGTTTTTTTCTTTCTTTTTTTCCCTTTTCATTTTCCCGAAAAGTAAGAAAGAACTAAAAGACAGAGAAAGAAATCTAATCATCAAAAAAGATGCAACAATTCATATGCTACATTACCATGTATGCTAGTCCCTGCGAATTAATATAACGTGTACCTCTTTGAAAGGGTGCCGGCCGGCACGACTCCACCGTTGCTCAGCGGATTCTTGAATCTTTGATGAGAGGACTGAAAGCATCAACTGTGATGCCAATTCGCCTATCGCTCAACAAGACGGAATGTTTAATGCTTTATAAATGCCATAAATTTGTCGTACTAGGGTGTTCTACAGAGCAGAGTGTACAGAGTGTACTGTGTATGTCAGTATGCATCAATTGGTCTTGCGCTAGGCTAGAGTATTGGTCCCTGAACAAGGTTGCTTGCCAGCTGGCGGTTGTTGTCAGAGCAACAAACTTCTACCGGCTTAATTGTTTACCACAACCTTGGGAGACGGGCGACCTTTTTGCAACGCGCATCGCACACCAATCATCAAGAATAAATCGCGTCAGAACCAACATTGCGAGCGTCACCGACGATAAATCGAAGCGAAAAGCTCGCTATTGACAATCAAATATACTTTGGACCAAGAAGCACAGCTCCCAACCTGCTGTTCTTGCATTCAGACACCGCCAATATGTCGTTCAACCCGCGCATGTCGATAATACCGGCGTCGCAAACATCGTCGCGCACACAGCGCAAGAAGGAGGAGGAAGCCGACGCCTTCATGCGCCTCCCCGACAAAGAGATTGTAGGATGTATCACCGATATTGGCATCCCCTTCACCGTGGCCGACCTGGCAAAACCCAATCCAGTGCAGGTCCAGATGATATTTGAGTGGTTCGCAGAGCTCCTCCTCAATGCAACACGCGAGACCATCGAGCCCGCTATGCACGCTGCAGCTCAAGATTTCTATGGGGATTACCCTGATGTGATATCACCAGATACTAGGAATTTGATGGGATTCTATGTCAGCCTGCGCCGTCTGCTGCAGGAGTGCGGCATCAACGATTTCAGCTTCACGGACCTATACAAGCCATCGCGCGAGAGACTGGTCAAGATTTTCAGCTACTTGATCAACTTTGTGCGTTTCCGAGAGAGTCAGACACAAGTCATCGACGAGCATTTCGACAAGGCTGAGAAAACAAAGGCGCGCATCGAGACTCTGTACCAGGACAACCAGGACATGGAGGCACGCCTAAACGAGATGAAGCACAACCGAAAAGCTATGGAGGCGCAGGTCCGCGAGAAAAACGCGAGGAACGAAGAGTTGAAGAAGAACTTGTTGGAACTGCGACGAAACCAAGAAAAGGTCGCCGCCAGGCTTGAAGAAGCCAAGGAGAAAAAGGGAGAGCTGGCGCAAAGATTGGAACAGAAGACTGCCGAGAAGCTCCATTTGAAGCAGGAAAGCGCAAAATTGAGACCATATACACTTCAGAGCCCGATCGCCTTGCAAAACAGCTTGTCAGAACTCAACAGCACGTTGCACGCGGACAAGCAACATATTGAGTCACTCGAGAGGCGAGCGAGAGCACTGCAAACTTCCACGGACTCATTCACAGTTGTGGCAGCAGATGTCGCTTCCTGCATCAAGACATTGGACGAGATTGCCGACGAATTGGCAAAGGAAGAGGAGGAGAACAAGAGGAACGCCAGGCAACGGGATACCCTCACGGATCGGGGGAAAAACGCCAAAGACATTGAGCGCCAACAGCATCTCCTCGAGAGACAGCTGGCAAAATGGAGCGAACGTACTGAAAAGCTCCGAGATCAAAGCAGAGAGAAGGCTCAAGAAGCTAAAGCAAAGATGGAGGAATTACGCGATTTGCACAAGAATCTTACAGAAGAGCGGGCCACAAAAGGCACAGAGATTGAGAGGCGGCGTGTTCGAATCGAGCAGACTGAGAAAAAGGTGAGCTCCAAGAAACCCATGCCATTGAAACTTCCAGGTAACTGACCATTTCGACAGATGTTGGACTTGAAGGAGAATGTCGAAAATGAAGTACGCGCTGCCCAAGACGAGTATCTGAAGATGGAGGCCCACATCAAGCTGTACATCACAGAGATGGATCAGGCTATCTCAGCCTGAGTGTTTTCCTTGTCTCTGCTTGTATGATTAATGACTTGATGACAATGATACCACGGCTGGCGTTTAGAAACATTTGCTCTCTGCTATAATTATTTCAATATAGCCCTTACCACAATGCATGATGCTTATTTCATTCAAATATTATGATAGGAGAAAGCCCATGACTGGAAAGAAAGAGCAGAACTGGGCCAGTCAATGTTGCTATTTTGCATCTTCTATATCTACGTGGTCATCGATGTCCCAAATTCCTCGCTGGAAAGTGAACCAGCGGCTCATCACTCTTCCAACTTCGACTGACCTGCTTGACCAACCTCCCTCATCTAGGTCTAGGCCACCCCTCCTCGCACTTCCACTCAGTATGGGTAATCTTTCCTGCAGGAGTTGTTGAAGGCCATCTGCCTGCTCCATTGCATCCCCTTCATAATCAGTATACTCATGCGCTGATAGAGGCTTTGCATGCGGTTCTATGACCACCAGACCCCAACCGAGTCGAGTTGCTGCTTCAACGAGGACGGCCATGGTGTTTTCTAGGCCTTGAGCACTCCATTCACTAGTGTCTCGGTGCATCTCTATTACTCCGTACACGATGAGAGTTGGTTGCTTCCTATCTTCAGGTACGAAACTGGCAGGTGGTGTGGTGACCCTGGAGTTTTCGGGTACAAATAATGACATATAAGCGCGCAGATGGGTGAGGGTGGGTATATAGACTGTCCGGATGTGGCGAGATATTGCTAACTGGGAGAGCGTCTGGGAGAGGAGGGGGTGCTGCTGGGCGTCAGTTTGTTCGCCCAGTTGTCTCGGCTGAGGCTCTTGCGTTTGCTGGGCCAGAGATTGGAAAGAGGCATCCTGCGGCTTGTTTACGTAGAGGCTGTTTTGCTCTTTTGTGTCGTTTTGGAGTGCACTTAAGAATTCCGATCGTGTTGAACAGACAATGAGAGTGGTTGGGTAGACGTGATAATTTAATATATAGGTGAGAATTTCAGCTGGTAATGTTGGCGAAAGCAGCAGCGGCATGGGAGACATTTGAGTGTTGCTTTGTCTTTTCTGATAACGAGAGCGTCGGATGGAATTAGCTGGCGGTGAGAAACTGAAACAATACGAGAATTACATACCTTCCAATCCTTCGATCTGGCTTTTAGTAATATGTCCCGTTTGAACAAGTTTTTTTTTTTTTGGTAGGATATGCCTCGGATGTCCTCATGAGACCAAGAAATGAATATATGAAGACGGCTAGGTAGGCGAGTGTTGACAAATCACAGCGCGCCTACACATGACTTACCTTCAGGGACGTTCAATGAAAACGGCCCGCCCCGCCAGTCCCCCCCAGCAGCCTGTAGCAGCCCTGGAGGGAATTGCCCTGCCAAAGCTCGCAATCCATTGCTGTGCTAATAGGCCTGCCTCACCGACGTCACGCCTCACCCTACCACCCTACCTAGGCAGTCCTCTTACTTCAACTCTTGCGCGCTCCCTGCGCAGCCTGGCAGTCAACATGGAGTCGATATCGCGGATATCTACTCTCTTGGAGAATGGTAAGGATCCCTCTGGCCCGCGCCTTCGATTTTACGGCGGCTACTAACCAAGTCCCAAGCGCGAGAGCTCACCCTCGACGCAGCCCAAGCTGCTCGCAGCACGAGGGTTACAACCAAGTCGCTCCCTATAGCCCAGCTCAAGAAGCTCGTCGACAGCCGTAATGAACGTGAAGTTCTGGATGGTTTGCGCCGTGTTATCTCGATGATGTACCGCCAGCAGCGCACTCTGCCCTTCTTCTCCTCCGTCGTCAAGAATGTGGCCTCCCCCAACCTCGAGATCAAGAAGCTGGTCTACATATACCTCATACACCATGCCGAGCAGGAACCAGATCTGGCTCTGCTGTCCATCAACACCATACAAAAGTCCTTGTCCGACACGAATCCTCAAGTACGCGCCCTGGCACTCCGAACCATGAGCGGCATTCGGGTACCAGTCATTAGCCAGATCGTCTCCCTGGCAATCAAGAAAGGCGCGGGCGACATGTCACCCCACGTACGCAAGGCAGCTGCACTTGCTATTCCGAAATGTTATCGCCTAGAACCGAACACACTACCACAGCTGATAGATTATCTCGCTACGCTACTGGGTGACAAACAGTACTTTGTTGCTGGCGCCGCGGTGACGGCCTTTCTGGAAATTTGCCCTGAGCGGCTGGACCTCATTCATAAACATTATCGTAGCTTGGTCAAGAAGATTGTCGACATGGATGAATGGAGCCAGCTTGCTACACTACGTCTCATGACTATCTATGCGCGCAAGTGCTTTCCCAGAAGGACACGTGCTTCCAAGACGAAAGATAAATCGGCCGACTTGCAAGATTTCTACGGAGAGAACCCGTCGGAGTCCGCCGAAAATGGGGAACAGGTTCTGGTGCTTGATCCCGATCTACTTTTACTGCTCAATTCGATCAAGCCCTTGCTCCAAAGTCGCAACTCTGGTGTCGTGATAGCAGTGGCTCGGTGTTATGCCAGCATTGGTACTGCAGAGTATGTCAAGTCAACTGTGGGTCCCCTTGTGGCCTTATTACGATCCGCACAGGATATCGAGCAAATTGCCTTGTACAACATTGTATCAGTATGCTTGACTCATCCGAGCTCCTTTGTCAAGTACGCTTCACACTTTCTTGTTCGTGCTTCTGACCCAGCCCCCGTGTGGGAGCTGAAACTCGAAATCCTCGCCCTCATCTTTCCGCATAGTCCTAATCACACCAAGAGCTTGATCCTGAGCGAGCTTGAGCACTTCTCCAGAGGCACAAACAAGGCACTCGTGCGTGACGCTGTAAGGGCGATTGGACGTTGCGCGCAAACGGATCCCAGCACATCAGCCAGATGTCTACGACTACTGCTCAGTCAGATTACTAGTCTTGATGGAACACTCGCAGCCGAATCGCTCACAGTGATTCGTCACCTGATTCAGCAAGACCCCGAGGCCCATACGGGTACCGTCACAAGGCTAGCTAAGAATCTCGATTCGGCTTCAGATCCACATGCACGAGCCACAATTATTTGGCTTGTTGGCGAGTTTGCCGGTATTAATGGCGACGACAATATTGCTGCGGACGTTGTTCGGATTTTGTTGAGAGACTTTACCAACGAAGCCGAGGTTGCAAAGCGACAGATTGTACTCTTGGCTGCCAAAGTCTATCTGCACCATATCAACCGCGAGACTGAGGCCAAGAAGCCTGAGGAAGGCGAAGAACCAGCCCCTGCCTCGGAAGATCATGTGATAGTTCGCCTCTGGGAGTATGTTCTTCACTTGGTCCGTTATGATACCTCGTACGACCTACGCGACCGAGCGCGTCTTTACAAGGCACTTCTCGAAGTCCCACAACTCGCAACTCTCATGCTTTTGGCGCCGAAACCTGCCCCTCAAGCGGCGAGTCCATCAGAAACAAGGAAAGGTTACTTGCTAGGGTCATCTGCACTCGTATTGGCCGGCGGTGGCAGCATTCACGGAATCCGTGGCTACGAAAACCTACCTGATTGGGTTCCGGAAGGCAGAGAACCCGACCCGGCCTTGCGAGCCCAAGACGGAGTTCCCAATGAATATGGCGAAGGCAAGAGAGTGACACCGGCCTCACAGCAGCTTGATGAGGCGCCCAAGAGTACCTTTTCCGGAAAGAGTAACGGCGTCAGCGAGGGCACTGGTGCAAAAACACTAGACGACTGGCTAGCCGAGTCTGGAGAAGATGACGATGGAGAAGATGACGATGGAGAAGAATCAGAAGAAGAAAGTGAGGAGGAGGAATCCGAAGAGGAAGAAGACGATGATGAGGACGACGACGAAGAAGAGGAAGAAGATGAAGACGAGAGTGACGACAATGAGCAGACAGGGGATGAATCCGCCCGACTTGTCAAAAATGAATAGCATTATTAATAATATTTGCACGGTCATTGTACCAGAAAACATTACGATTTTCTCGTTTGTGATGCCATAGTCTGACAGACTTTTCGCACTACATGTGACAAGCTCTCACAAATGATGTCTTGAATGTTGCTTGGTTGAATAAATACGAGCCGCACGAGGAGAAACATGAGAGACCAGCCAAAGCTAGAAAACAACGAGTGGTCATTTATCAAGTCAATGAGTCTAAAATCTGGACAAAAGATATCCAACGCTGCGTCTATATGCCGGGTATCATTCTTCTTTCCATAATTCGAGCTTACACCAATGCTCAATTTCTATACCTGTAGGGGTTTTTCGGCTTTCACAGGTGCTACTTCAGCCCCGTCAGAAGTTTCGTCGCCAGGCTTGACACCAGTCTCGACTGTGTTGCCCTCAGCCGCACTCTTCTCGTCGCTCTTCTTCCCCTTCTTCCTGAACCGCTGGGCTTCCCTCTCAGCCATGGCGGGGAACAGGAACCCGGGCGGGAAGGCTGTCAACAGAGCCACAGGGATGAGGACCATACTGTGTGAACAAAGGTTAGCAACGTTTGGATTTTCTCAATTTTTTTTTTTCAATCGGCCTCATCCTGCCCAGGGCAACAGACGATAACAGGGAACTACTTACAAGCCCTCGAGCACAATGAAACTGGGCTGGTCGCGCATAATCGTGCTGCCCCATCCACCGCTCATCTCGGCGATACGATAGATGCACCGAATCAGGATACCGAAATAGGCGCCGAGGACGGCAAAAAAGAACATGCGGGCCTTTTTGTCTACCCACAGGGCGCGGGCCCCGGGCGCCAGCACATTGTCGTTGTCGTCATTACCCGAGGCGGCAGCAGCAGCAGATCGGACGAGGACACGGCGCACCCGAACCAGGTAGTCGGTGGCCATGGTGCCGAAGCCGAGGAGCACGGCGACCTGGAGGGCGATGCCGACGATGATGACGCGGTCGCCGGCGAGCAGCAGGTCGGCGTTCTCGCCCGAGGAGCCGGCCGAGGCGGCCAGGCCGCCGCCGATGGCCTGGAGAATCAGGCACGAGACGTCGGCGGGCACAAAGATGAGGGGGTAGAGGCGCGGGCGGACGCGCGAGAGGCCCGGCGAGAGCGACAGGACCGCGTGCTTGAGCGTCAGGTAGATGGAGATGCAGAGGAGTGTTGGCGCGAGCACTATGGCCGATATCTTTTGAAACAGGTGTTAGTCTTTGCTCTACCCCAGGGTACATGAGGAGCCCAAATACCTGCAGCTGGAATGCGTCTTTGCTAAAGGGGTTGGCGTGCATCTGGATGCGACCAATGTAGCCTACAATGTGGAAGAATTTCCCTGGGTCAGCATTTGTCTTTTCTGTTGAACTTGTCGTCGAGCATATAGATCCAAACGTCATGATATCCTGATGTTTTGCTCTCAAGTGTGTATCGTATTTCAAGTTATACATACCAGCTACCTCAAGTATACATCCTGCCACCAGAGCCGCAGAATAACCCCAGGTTTTCTTCCGGATTCCCGTAATCAGCAACACCAGGAGGCAGGTTGCAAATCCGGCGACGAGAAAGGCATTCGCGCCGAGGTTGGGATAATAGCCCAACACTGTAGCCTCGACTGGACAGTAAGGACCCGGCTCCTTGCAGTTCTTGGTGCTGAAATGTTGCGTCCCGTTTGTCGACATTGTTTGAATCTCTGTGTTTTCGGTAGTCCTTCCCTCTATAGTTGTTGTGCGACCATCTAGATGAACTCTTGTTTATTTGCCTCCTGTTTCTTCTTCAAGTTCGTCGGCGTAGTCTGCAAGACTGATCAAGGAGGCAATTCTAGTGAATGCTTGTGGCGGCTTCGGTCCCGTAAAGTCCAAAGTTTGTAAAGAATCCCCCTCAAGTCTGTGAGCGAGAAAGAAAAGAGCAGAAGAAAAAAATAATCGTGATTTCAGTGGCTGCGACACAGCGACCGTGAAGAACACAGTATATCAAGTCGTTACGGCAATTAAAAGCTTTGGAAGAACATCAAATGAACAGAATGGGAGAAGACATGTTTCGCTGGTCAGACGTTTCACGCGCGCGCAAGGGTGATGGATGGTGGTCTCCATTTTATCTATCGCATCTTTTTCTGATGGCCATTTCCATTCCGGCATCTCTCGTAACCGAACACTAGTGTTCGGTCCACGCTCCTCGGCTGACTGCATCCTACCTAGTATCATACAATGGGAGGACCCAGAAGAAATATCGAGACAATAGGGCTGGCTCATGGTTCGTTGGGCAAGGAAAGCGTAAGCGATCTTTATGGTGTGCTGTAATAGTTCTAGAAATCTCTTTTTATTCTGGAGCCTTTGCTCCCCTCGCCTCCCCCCCGAATAACGGGCAACCTTCCCGGCTCGCCAGACCAACCGATACTCCACTAATCTTGGCCGACCTTAACAGCGAAAAGGTTTCCTAAAAGGGAAACCGAGATTTTGCCCTATGCGGTATCATCCTGGTGTTGTTCGTCGCTAGTGTCAAAAGGCGCAACCGAACCAACTGCCAACTGGGACGGGCAGTTTCTTCTAGTGGTTGTCAGCCCAATGATGCATGCGATATTGATCGACTCAAGGAAGCTGCCACGTTTACACGTTTACCTGGGACTGAGGCTCTGTTTAAGAAATTTAGTAGAGATCGTCCATGTGGTAGATGCAGAACTATTACAATCTGTGTTCAGGCTGCGGGTACTTCCTAGACAATATTAACGCGTCTTCAGAAAGTAAAGTCCGAGGTGACAAGGCCGGTATTATCAAGCACAGCATTGAAGAGCAGTGTTTTCTGGGCGTGCTCCCATTAGGCTGGCGGATAGATCCAATCCCGAAAGTGGTGTGAGCTCGCTTAGATATTCAAATGCCACTGTCTCTCTAGCGCTGGCGTATTCGTACCGATTGATCTGAGAAAGATCTATGTATCTAGCCGAACATCCAGGCGAAGGTAGCAAGTCCGCTAACAAAGAGCCACGAAAGGGTTGAAACAACGGGTAATGAATTTCGATTGGCCCAAAGAGGGCAGGTATCAATGTCTGTCTATTCCTTTCCGCCAATAAACCTATATATGACTGAGAAATCTTTCCCCTTGCAATTATCAGCTTTTTCGGCCTCCTCGTAGACTTCTCGTGCACGACCGCCGAGTTCGAGCTTGGCATCGGCCTCATTGGCCGCGACAATGGCGAGTTTAAGATCCTTCTTCATCAAACCAATACCAAAGCCACCCGAGTAATCGCGGTTGGCTGGTGCTGTCTCGATGACGCCTTTCACTGGATTGTTGACTTCGCTGGGCCAACACCGCCCCGTGCTGACGTTGATGATATTTGCCAGCGTCTTGGGCTTCAAGCCCCATCTAATGCCCAAATTCATGGCCTCTGCTGTTGCAATGTTATTGATGGCTAGCAAGTAATTGTTGGCCAGCTTGGCGCTCAATCCAGTGCCTTGTATTCCGCAGTGGTGCACGGCTTTCCCCATCCGCAGCAGTATCGCCTCAATCTTTGGCACGAGAGCATCTGGCGCCCCCAGCATAAATGTCAGTGTGCCCGCGCGAGCGCCCACGACACCTCCCGACATGGGCGCATCTACGAATTGGCCCTGACCAGCGGCAGCAACCTGTTTTGCTACTTCGCGCGAGGTAGAGGGATCGATTGTAGAACTATCGATGAATATCCTGTTGTTCTTTTTGGGCAAATCTGGTGTCAGAATGTCGGCAAAGACACCTTTGACATGAGATGGTTCCGGCAAGCAGGTAATTATGGTATCCTGGTTGCTTTGATTAGCAGACCGCCTTGAGACCAAGAGATGCAAACGAGTTGTGAATTGGTGATTCTCTTCAGAGGATTGGCTTTAAAATAGTCTTAATCATGGGAGGATCGGCGGACCGATCCCAACTTAGATCATGAATGTAGGATTATGGGTTCTCATCATGTGGAGATGTGTATTGGAGGAAGAAGTGGATTGTGCCGGCGGCAGACGTACCGAGTCTTTGGCAGCATCTTTGACGCTCTCTGCTATCTCGACAATGGCTCCGCCTGCTTGAGAAGTCTTCATCTCCTGTGCCAATTCCTGGACGGCGTTCTTGTTGAGGTCGAACAATCGAATCGTGTCGTCCGGTGGGAGTTTGGCTTGCAGGTTCTTGGCCATTTGGTAGCCCTGTTCAGCATGTTAGTGTAAGGCATTCGGTGCGGTTGTTGTTGTGCTGGCAAACGTACCATTTGACCCAGGCCGATGAAGCCATAGCTGTCCAGTCGCCGGGGCGAGGAAGAGAAGGCGCACCTTTGGCCGTGGTGTACAAGACTCCTCGCCTTGAAAGAAATCGCCCTCATGTTGCGCAAACACACAAAGGCCAAGTTCACTTGAATTATGCTTTGCGACTGATGACGAGATGCACAAATAGCTGGAATAAAACAAAGAAATTCTAGTAGGAAAAAAAAGAGTACCAAAAAGTCTTTTTACCTTGGGGAATGCTCAGAGGAAGCATCATGTGCACACCTTACATTACCTGCCATTCGTACCTGAATTCGCGGGGTACTGTTATCCGAAGAACCGGCCATTGCCGCTGTTAAGCAGTGTTGTGCCAGTTTGAATTAGGGAGCTATCCAGCCGCAACCCCAGGAATTTTCTCCAACTTTTTTCTTTGGAGAAACGCTGGAGCCAGCAGGCAGATCGCTTGCTTACCTTGGGGGGCGGGTGGACTGGACCTGGATCGGATTTTAGCGGAGGTCAAGAAGTAGACATCAACGGCTCAATTGGCAGCTTGCGCAAAGCACAAAGCTCGCGCATAGGTCATTGGCGCTGTGAAGCAAATTTTTCGAGAGGAGATTCCATTATTTCACTACACGTGAAGAGAATCTGGGAATGAGCGAAAGTTTGTGGTTTGAAAATGTTTGCGTTTAGGGGTCTGGATTTATATTTTTGTGGGTAGATAGGGAAAAGAAAAAGGTCCCTTCTAGACCCCCCAAAATCCCCCCAAAAGTCCATTTGCGGCCTAGATAGCTGGCAATAAAGTCAGGGTTCGCTCGGCCAATTCTTGTCCGCATTCCGCGATCACTTCAATCAATCGGCAGTGAGAGCCCAAAACATGCAAGCTCCTACATTTGGGGGACCTTATCTTATCCGAGCCTAGTAGCAGTCAACACCTCGACGTGAAGCTCAAGTCACTTCTTGGAATACCTTGGTGCAATTCAGCGGCTTACCTCAGAGTCAAGACTCCCACCGTCTCCGTATGCATTCGACATTTCTGTTCTCCTGCCCTGCTTGTTCAGCCATTCAATCAAGTCTCAAACCCGAATCAAGTTCTCAGTACTCTAGACAAGCATAAAGCTCTATTGTTATTATTACAGAAGCCGCCATGGCTGCGTTCGACCCCTCCAAAGTCCCATTCATCTACCGCTTCCTCTTTCTCTACTTTGAACCTTGTGGAGCTTTGTTGGGCTCGACACTTTTGCTCTTCTCCCCGCAGAAATTTTTGACGACCATGTCTGAAGCAACCGTCTATACTGCTTCTCATCAAGTCGTCTATTCCTATCTAGCTGCAACCTATGTCTTGTTTGCGTTCAATGAGGCCGTCGTGCTCCGTCTGACCAACGACTTGACCGTGTGGAAAGCTCTACTCTGCGGCATCCTACTGTGCGACAGCATCCACCTCTACGCCGGCTGGGCCGCCCTGGGAAGTGACGTCTTTTGGAATCCGGCATTGTGGCGCATGGAAGATGCTGTGAATCTCGGGAGTCTTTGGGTGCAAGCTGCCATTAGAGTCGCCTTTATATATGAAATCGGCTTTCCTCGTGGCCAAGGAAAAGGCAAACAGTCCTAGACAGCTTGCCGCCTGACCCCGTTTTTGGCAATGACACCATTCAGTATTGGCATGCCAGTCTTGTGAGGAAGGGTAGTATTAAGAGCGCACTGGGAGTAACAGGAGAGATGCGAATGCTTCTAGAATCCATACAGCCTGTGAACTTGGACTAGTCTGTTTATAGTTGTGTGGGTCGGTTTTGACTACACCTTAAACTAGATAAGACGATATTCATTTCCAAGGGTTTTTATCGCTACAACATAGATAACGTTATAAAATAAATGGAGCTTCCAGTGGAGCGCCAGAATTCTTGGGCTCTAATTAGCCAACTGGCCACCTACCAGCTAAAGGTCTAAAAAGAGGAGGCCCCCATAAGCCCTGGAAACTACGATACACCTTATAAA